AGGAGCCAGGAGGCAGGAGCTTCCTCCAGTCTCCCATATGGGTGACTGGGCCATCTTCCACTGCTTTCCCAGGCCACAGCAGAGAGCTGGATTGGAAGTGGAACAACCAGAACTCAAACCGGTGACCATATAGGATGGTAGCACTGCGGGCCGGAACATGGGCATCTTGTGTCTTAACCCTTAGAGAAAAGTGCGCCTCTTCCTGGTGATTTTAGGCTGCTGTGATTTCCATGATACAACTACCAGCTGTTCATCCACCTGAGAAAACTTTTCTTCAAGTACTGGCACCAAAATTAGAGTCCTTATTCTTCAAAAAGTTGAAAAACAGCTTAGATCAAATTCCCAAAAGGACATAATATTTCCATTCCAATTCATAAAGTCACCAAGCAGTAAGATCTGAAGGATACTTTTTTTTTTTTTTTTGACACCGCCTGCAGTGCCAGCATCCTAAGGATACTCTTTTTTAAAAAAAATTTATTAGGGATGAAGCTTGTTTTTATTTAGAATTTCCTTAGAGGAACTTAAGCCCTGAGAAGGAATAATTAACTCTCACTTTACGGATCAGACATCCTCAAATTGCCCCATGTAGATATTATGTTAGTAAAATGAGTCTTGTGTTTGAGATCATTTTATCCTGTTACATTGCACATTAAGGCACATTTTTAAAAATAAACCGAAATGAATAATTAATGAAAGAGAAATGAATATTCCTTTTAAGCTGCCAGATACACTAGTCCTCTGCGTTTTTCCTGGCCCCTCCTTACTTCCTCTTTCCACTCCTTTGTGGGGCTTTGAACCATTCACCCTCATAGTTTATTCCTTCCTTTCCATCTCAGAGTAGCTGTGCTCCCTGAACAGCATGGCAAGGCAGACCAGAACAGCTGCTCTTCCGTCCTCAGGATAAGGGCACCAAGGGTACCCAGAAATGCCTCAGCTTCCATCCAGGACCCAGCAACCCGTCGGCAAATCAGAAGAGGGCCAAGAAAGGACAGGGAGAGCCAGAGAGCACATAGAACCCTTCCCCCAGGATGAAGCACATAAAACTCCCCACCCCCACCCTGGGACGAGGTTCCTAGTCATTCTTTGCTTTCAGCCAACTGGTTAGGCCTTGTTATTCATCTCCACCTGGGAAGCTCAAGAATGCAGAATCTCCTGCGAGAGGATTTTAACAAGGCTCCCAGTGGATCTAAAGTTTCAGAAGCATGGATCAACAGGATGTCTTCTTGCCCAGGGACACGTTTTTCCTTTTCTTGTAGCTGGTGCACATTTCAAGGGAAATCAAAAGAAATCATCCACCATGACAAGCCAAGTGAGAGTACTTCAAACATTCATAGGAAAATGGAATGAAAAGATGTCTGTTTCAGTGCAAAAGTTGAATTCCATTCCTATGTTTTCATAATAAGCATTTATCATGGATTTAAGAAAAGTGTTTTGGGGCCAGAACTGCAGTGTAGTGAAACAAGCTACTGCCTGCAATGCTGGCATCCCGTATTGGAGCACCGGTTCAAGTCCCAGCTGTTCTGCTTCTGATCCAGCTCCCTGCTAATGCAACAGGAAAGGCAACAAAGGTTGCCCCAGAGATGCTTGGGTTTCTGCCTGGCCCAACAGTAGCTGTGCGGCTACTTGGGGAGTAAACCAGAGGGTGGAAGCGTCTCTCTCTCTTTCTCTTTCTCTCTCTACCACTCTGCTTTTAAAGTCAACAAATCAATAAATAAATCTTGAAAAGTTTTCATTGAGTTTCATTTTTATTTGAAAGGTAGAGAGATGGAAAGACAGAGATCGTCCATACACTAGTTCACTTTTTTTTTTTTTTTCAAGATTTATTCATTTGAAAGGCAGAGTTCCCAAAGTAGCGTAGCCAGGATTCAAACTGGTGCCCATATAGGAAGCTGGTGTCTTAACCCACTGCGTCACAATGCTGGCCCCTGCTGGTTCACTTTTTAAATGCCTGCATCAGCCAGGGCTGGGCCAGCCTGAAGAAAGGAGCCCAGAGCTTCATCCAGGCCTCTCACTTGGCGGCAGAGACCCAAGTATTCAGCCATTCTGCTGTCTCCTAGGGTGCACATGAGCAGGAAGCTGAATTGGAAGTAGAGGACCCAGGCGCTCCAGTATGGGATGTGGGTATCCCAATTGCTGATTTACCTCTATATCAAACACCCATCCCTCTCATGAACTTTTTAAAGACCCTTTGTGTATTATTGGAGATTAGGTTCTTACATATAAGTAGGCTCACCAAGAACAACCAGAAAAAAATGTCTTTAAGAACAAAATGTTGAACTCTTTCACTGTCGCTCCCCCTCTTCGTGGAGGAGCAACACAGGACCCTGCGCTGTTCTTTCGTCTGCTCGGCCCTCCCCGGGTTTGCTGCTGGTTCTTCCCGGGTTGGCTACTATCCCTTCCACCTCCGTGGAAGGGCAGTTCCCCCTGGCCACATTCCCCACCTCCGCAGGGGAGCGGCACACCGCCGGCCGGTTCTCTCAGGGGCTGCACGGGTTCCCTTAGATGTTCCCCATAGATGTTCCTGGTGCATGCCGTCTCTCTCCTCCTTTACAGTCCTCCTCCGCCAATCCCAACTCAGCTGCCCACACGCCGAGTACGCTGCTCTCCTCCAATCAGGAGCAAGTCCTACAGTTTATTAGTTGAACTGGAGGCAGCTGTGCGGAAGCTGTTTACTTCTCTCCCAGCGCCATATTGTGGGAGAGCAGATGCATAGAATAAGTCCTAATTCCAGTAATTCAGTCCAGTCCGGATTGCTCCCCACATTTCACCTCTAGGTTTTTAACATTCTGAACAGAATTTCTTTGTTGCAACCATTTGACATTTCTTACAATGTACTGTTCAAGACAGGGAAACACTCAGCAGCAACTTATGCAAACAACAACTCAAACCCTGCTTCCACACTGCTTTGTATAGACTTCCAGGCAAAACAAACTACAAATTCCCAAGTCAAAAAATGGAGAGAAGCAAGATAATTTCTTCTAGCATTTCTTTAGCTGTTTTTACTATTATTTATGCAAATTTTATTAAAAATTGATACTGAGTAACTGCATCAATTTATTGGAATGCTTTGCTCTATTCTTTTAGCACCATTTTTTTTTTTATTTGATAGGTAGAGTTATAGACAGTGAGAGAGAGAAACAGAGAGAAAGGTCTTCCTTCCGCTGGTTCACCCCTTGTTAGAGTCTGAAAAAGCCCACCGCCCAAGGAACGACTCCAAGAGACTTTTCTCTCATGCAACCAGCAAAGGGTTAAAGATTTATTGATTATCCAGCATGCTGGGGCTGTCTGATCATACAAAAGCAGAGCAGCCCCGAATAACCAAAGGTTAGGGTTTATAAAGGCAAAAACCGCAAAACCGGGAAGGGGGGAATACATGGTTGCTATGCACGGTTGCTATACACAGTTGCTAAAATCAGAAGAGAGTACATAAAATCAAAAGAGTATATGGTTACTGGGGTCAACATAACCTAAAACCTAAGTGAAATTAATATTTATCATAATCTTGACAATACCAGTTACAATATTACAATTAGCAATTAGGACTTGACATTAATGTAAGACACAGACAAATCACATCTTTATTATTAGCCCAGGTAACCCAAGTGCAACCTTTCTACTTTTAAGCTTGAGCAATCATGCTAGGGGGTTTTTGTGCTCTGCCAAGGGTGATGTAGTGCACTGCTATTGTCCGACTATTTGAGATCATAGTTTCACACCAGAGTCTCACAATGGGGGGGTGCTTTCCCAGAATGCAGTCTCAAGTGCTCCAAAATGGAGTCCCTACTGCCAAGGTGCTACTCTGTCTTATTTTTTACAGCTGTACCAGGAAGGTTTAAACCTGTAAGCTTAAGCTTTAACTCTTCACCCTCAAATGGCCGCCATGGCTGGCGCCGCGCTGATCCGAAGCCAGGAGCCAGGTGCTTCTTCCTGGTCTCCCATGCGGGTACAGGAGCCCAAGCACTTGGGCCATCCTCCACTGCCTTCCTGGGCCACAGCAGAGAGCTGGACTGGAAGAGGAGCAGCTGGGACTAGAACCTGGTGCCCATATGGGATGCCAGTGCGGTAAGGTGGAGGATTAGCCAAGTGAGCCACGGTGCTGGCCCTGCTTTGCTCTATTCTGTCGCAATTAGTATATTTGGTGATTAAACAATAAGAATTTAGTATGTCTGTTTTTTCCAATATTTCATGGCTACATTCTCTTTGAGTTTCTGAGGATCTCAATTCTTTGAAGATTTTTTCTTCCTTGTGGTTTTAAGTTCAAAACAAACAGTTGAGTTTATCCTACCATTGGTTCATCCTACGGGAGTTCTTTTGGAAGCAGCTTTTAGTTTGCATTTACACAAAGCAGGAAAACATCAGCACTATTTTCAGATTTCCTTAAAATAATTTTCTTAATATAATGTTGAGGTTTTCTACTTGATATCTTAGAGGTTAGGACATTAAAGATCGCTGTTTATAAGAGAAACACTTAATCTCCCTTGTACAGTATTGTCAGTATTGTCAAAGACAATCCTCATTATCTATATATCCTAACACAAGTGACTTTTCTGACTGTTCAGCTGTGTGTATATCATAGACTGTGGCCCAGTCTATGATAAATTTAACAAGATAAATTCCTACATTTCAAATTTTATTATTACTTTTTGCTTGGATTTATTTCTATTTTAAAATGTTTGAACTATTTTGTTCACGTATACAAACACATTTTGTTCACGTATACATACACATTTGAGTATGAAAATCTGTACCGAGGGGCTATAACATTGGGCCCAGAGTATCTCACTCTTATTCTAATGACTATTAGTTAGAAATAAGCATTCACACAGTGTTCACTAGATGTAGTAACTGTACTTGTAACAGCAGGGAACATAAGAAATTAAACAATTAAAAGTAATTCTCTAAGTAGGAAGACCAAACAGAAGAAACGTAAAAACAAAACTGATGACAAGAATCTTACCATAGGATGAGATGGTAGCAGCCACCATCTACTGAGTGCTTACCCTGGGAAGTTTGCTGTGTTCGGTCCTTGACAGCAGCTGTATCTCACTCAAGACAGTTCCATTTTACAGATGAGAAAACTGGGGTTGGACAATAATAGCAACTTTAAATTGGTATTGGGACCCTCATGTAACATGAGGCATGCTTTTACCTGTACTCCTATAAAACTGTCTGCCTTATGAAGAGGGAGGTGTCTTGCTTTACCATTTAATATATTTCAGTAGCAAACCTCTTGAAAATAGAACAATATTACGTAATTCCTGTGTCTCCTAGAATCTTGCACAACTCTGGGCATAAGTGTTCCAAATTCTCTGGGGATAAATTGCAAACTGGATTGCCAAAACCATGGCAATAGTAGCATTTATTTGCTTTGTGAGCTCAACCTTTTCTAACCCAAAGAGCCTATTATAATGTATGTCAGGTAGCTTCCTCATGTTCTGCATACCCACTGACCTACTGGTGCCTTTTCAGTTGTTTTCCATTGTCTTACTTCATTTGGGCTGCTATTGCCAAATACATAAACTGGTGGCTTATAAACAACAGAAATTTGTTTCTTACAGTTCTGGAAGCTGAAAGTCCAAGAAAGACACTGGCAGATTCAGCGTCTGCTTCCTTGCTCCTAGGCGGTGCCTTCTAGCTGTGCTCACGTAGTGGAAGGGGCCAACAAGCTCCTTTGGGCTGTTTTTATAAGGACACCCGTCCCATTCATGTGTGCTCCACTCCCATGACCTCATCACCTTCGACAGGCCCCACCTACGTCCGTCACCTGGGATTTAAGATTTCATCATAGACATTTTGGGTGAACCTACGCTTCCGGTCTATTGCACATGACTTTGGGATTTTTCACTGGGCCTTTTTTCTCAGTCCACCTCCTCTATCTTTATGAATCAACCCCATCTTCACCTCTTCAGTTTGCTACCCTCTGCCATTTACTACTCTTGGTGTCCTACCTTCTTCACAGCACACATTGCACTGGATGGAACACGAGTGTTTAGAGGATGGCTGGGATAACATTGCAATCTGGTGGGGAGACAGATGAGTCATGCAACATATACCTCAGATCTGTGAAGATTTACATGCGATGTCCAAGGACAAGGTGCTGTATCTCATGTGAGACATACTAGTTATTGAGTATAGGAGAGACACTCAATAATCACTTTTTTACTAGGGGTTGGTACAATTTAGCAATATCTTACTCAAATTACCCTTACAAAACTCCGTAAGATTTTGCTGTTCCTCAAAAAAAAAAAAAAAAAAAAAAAAGATTTATTGCTCAAATTAGTTTGACAAATTCAAGATTAAAGTGCAGATGTTTGGCCTAGCAGTTAGATGCCTACATCCTATATTGGAAGACTCTGGCTTCCTGCTAATGTAGACGGAAAGGCAGTGGTGATTGGAGTCCTGCCACCCACATGGAAGACCTGGATTGAGTTCCCAGCTCCCAGCTCTGACCCCTAGCCTGACATAGGCCATTTTGGCATTTGGGGAATGAATGAAGAGATGGGAGCTCTTTCTCTTTTAGTTTGTTTCTGTAACACTATCTCTCAAATAAATACAAATTCAAGATTGAATAAACTGGGGGCTGGCACTGTGGCGTAGCGGGTAAAGCTGTTGCCTGCAGTGCCAGTATCCCATATGGGCACCAGTTCAAGTCCCAGCTGCTCCACTTCTGATCCAGCTCTCTGCTATGGCCTGGGAAAGCAGTAGAAGATGGCCCAAGTCCTTGGACCCCTGCACCTGTGTGAGAGACCTGGAGGAAGGTCCTGGCTCCTGGCTTCAGATCAGTGCAGCTCCAGCCATTGCAGCCATCTGGGGAGTGAACCAATGGATGGAAGACCTCTCTCTCTCTCTCTGCCTCTGCCTCTCTGTAACTCTGCCTTTGAAATAAATAAAAAATCTTTTTTTTTTTTAAAGATTAAATAGGCCGGTGCCGCGGTTCACTAGGCTAATCCTCTGCCTTGCGGTGCCGGCACACCGGGTTCTAGTCCCAGTCAGGGCTCCAGATTCTGTCCCGGTTGCCCATCTTCCAGGCCAGCTCTCTGCTGTGGCCAGGGAGTGCAGTGGAGGATGGCCCAAGTACTTGGGCTCTGCACCTGCATGGGAGACCAGGATAAGTACTTGGCTCCTGCCATTGGATCAGTGTGGTGCACCGGCCGCAGTGGCCATTGTGGGGTGAACCAACGGAATAGGAAGACCTTTCTCTCTCTGTCTCTCTCTCTCACTGTCCACTCTGCCTGTCAAAATAAATAAATAAATAAATAAAGATTAAATAAACTGAATTTTTTGAGAGGCTGGACTACATACAGGCATATACTAAGAGAGACAGTGTTTGTGTTTAAGAGAGCTCTATCCATTGTTTCACTGCCAAATGCCCTCAAGGGCCAGGGCTAGACCAGGACCAAAACTGGGAGCCAGGAGCTAAATCCAATTTGCTTGTCACCGCTGCTTCCCAGGGTGTGTGTTGGCAGGATGCTGGAATCAGGAGTTGGAGCTGGGGAACTGAACCTAGGGTTTACAATGTGGGATGCAGGCATCCTAATCGCTAATCCAAATGCCCATCCCTGAATAAAGGTTTTAACGTGCTGTAACTTTGCCCTGCAATACTTCTTGGAACTCTTTTCTTCAAGATTTATTTATTTGAAAGTCAGAGCTATGCAGAGAAGTAGAGATAGATAGACACACACAGAGAATCTCCCATCAGCTGGTTCACTCCCTAGATGGTTGCAACGGCCAGGGCTAAAGGCAGGTGTCAGAAGCTAATTCCGCATCTCCCATGTAGTTGAGGGGCCTAAGCACTCGGATGGTCTTTTGCTGCTTTCCCAGGCCATTAACTGGGAGCTGGACTGGAAATGGAACAGCCAGGACATGAACTGGCACCCATATGGGATGCTGGCATCGAAGGTGGCAGCTGTACCCCCATAGCCTGCTATACTGCAAGGCCTCCACTTCTCAGAACTGTTAATGTGCTAATACACCTTGTGAATCTCTGAAAGTGAATCAATATGCAATATTTCCTCATCATATTTGGCTATAGCAGCCCTTCTCCATGTACCATAAAACACAACTTGGAGACATGTGTTTTACAGTTGATACAAGAGTATAATATTAATGGCACCACATGTTAACTGTCAGATTTTTGGTCACCTCTTTGAATCTTAGCTACCTCATGCGAAAAATGGAGATAATACCTCTATCTCATATGGCGCTTGGCAAAATTAAAAAGTTTCTGATATTCCCAGGAGTACTCAGGAGATGTTAGATATGAGAATTACTAAGAACAGTATCCACAGGATCATATTGTTTATCAGAGTCAATGTTAGATTAACTCTGTTCCGGCCATGATCCTGTCCCTTAAGTGACTTCTTCCTAGAAAAAATAAAAGTGAAATGAAAAAAATAGAAATGAGATTGGAATACATAGTGTCTAGAGTTTGTCAGGAGACACAAGAGACAAAACAACAATAATTCTAGTTGGAAGAACTGATTGGCTTTCATTTGCAATTCTAGAACTGGGCAACACCTCATCCTGCAAAATGGAAGTTGTGTGTTTGTGAGTGGAGCAAAGGAGGTTAACTTTATGGGCAAAACAGGTCTGAAGATGGCAGAAACAGAGAACAAAAAGCAGATTGGTCATTTCAAAGTTAGTTTTCTTGTAGAGATTAGAACAGGGGGGATTTCCTTATCCTGCTGGCTAACACTAGCCAGTTTGGGGACCTAGCTTTAATCTCTCTCTCTCTCCTGATTTCTTGAAAGGGCAGATAAACAATCTAGTTTCTTCTTGGTGACATGCAGCTTCCACATGAGTAACTCCATTCTGCTCTGATCTGTTGAGCCTGGTGCAGAAACTCAGTCCAAACTAGAATTCTCTCTGCGCCAGCAGACGGACTTCCCAACTGGGCTGATGTATTCAAAGACATCCTTATCACTCAACACTTTTTTCCCATGTAGCAATGATACCCTGAACTAGTTCTCACCAATATACTTGATTTAAAGGAATGTTATGTTATTTTAGACCACTCTTTGGTCACTACATAGGACTTTATAACACAATAAACTAGAAGTTCCAACTGGAAGTCATTTGATTTATGTCTCCTGGCCCCGCCTCTATTAATGAGCCCTGCAGCTGTGGGGTGGTTCTTTGTGCAGGGTTAAGGAGCACATGAGAATAGAGTATGATAATTCCTGTCGTTGCCCTTCGTGAAATAAGCCAGATGTTTCTATTTGCAAAGGAAAAGCCCACACCTAGTGAAGTGTTTGTTTACAAGCCTCCCAACAAAACAAAAGCCTGGAAGAAAACATTCAAGGGACATGAGTCTTAGAAACTTCGCAAAACACCACCGCTGTCCCCACTTCCTGGCCCACGGGGTTCTTGCAAAAAGACCCACAAAGGCTGAACTGCTGGGTTGTAAACCGCAGTTACAACGACTGTTACCACGTGAAGAGAGTCCTGCTCTGACTTTATGGTAATTATCCACTTTTCCATCATTACGGCACTCTAAAATACACACAAAAACATGTCTTTAAAAAAAACCTTGTCCTAAATTAGCTTTTGTGGAAACGTCAGGAATACTTTTGGGACAATGGCCGCCAAAGAAAAACTAAACAATCACGTTTTAAAAATCGAAAGTGAAATTAGTTGTAACTTTTTGTTTCTGTTAGTGAGACATCATTGGAGACGTCAGGTTTGGTATTCCGAGTTATATTTTAGAGGAACAACGCCGCCGTTTTCTTGTTTCGTTTTTCGTTCTTAAGGAACTAAGCCGCTTCCCGCGAGCGACAGCTCCTGCCTCGGCCGAGGCGCTGCTCGGACCCGGGACGTCCCCGCCCAGCCGCCGAGGTTCCGGCCACCCGGGCGGCGCTGGCTTTCCGGAAGGGCGAGCGCGCGGGGCTGGAGCGCTGCTCCGGGCAGGTGGACGCGGGTGAGTGGGGCGCCCTGGGCCCGGCTGCCGTCCCTGCCCCGGGCAGGCCAGGACTGGAGAGGAGGGAGGAGGGTTCGGTGAGGCCCGGAACAGCGCGAGACTGGGGAGCACCGCGCGTGGGGAGCCCCGAGCGGGGGTGTTTGCGCTTCCGGCCAGAGGGGCGCCCACACCCACGTACCCCACGCCGTGCCAGTCCCCAGCTCCAGGCCACCTCCAGGGACCCATCTACCCCTGGGCCCATCGAGCTTTATCTGACCGCATCTTCTGTTTGCATTGCTTCATTCGGGGAAATTGAAACTTAACATTTGTGTTTTCCCACGGTTTTCCTTGGGTGTCTCTGGAGAGAATTCTTAGAACAATGGATTTCTTAAGGAGAGCGTTTTTGGCAGTCATGGAGTTTGGCCATCGTGGGGCACCTTTCAGAATTTGCAATGTTTTTTTCTTGAAGCAGACATCCAAAGAGGGAATATCAGTGTTAAATAAAAAAAAAATGTAGGAGACTGTTGTTTTGGACAAAGCTCCTGTGCCAGGCTCCAACAGACCAGGCTAAAAATCAAAATGGAGTCACCCAGGCTAAGCTGCAGCCACTAAGCCAAACTAAGCTGTCGTCTCTCCTGAGAAATCAGGGGAAATCTAACAGGCTCACAGGCTCTTTTCGAGTCCCAGGATCAGGGAGTGCCTTCTGCTTTAATCCTTAAAAAGTACCCTGAAGTAACCTCGAGTTAACCTATCAGTTGTTTTTCTATCGTTCTGTCTGTTCCTGCCTTGCAAGGGAGGCAACCCTGACGTGACTGATCCACTTTATGTTCTGGCTTTCTGCTTTTTTCACCTGGTCTGTGGCTATAAAATCAACTTCTGTGCTCAGCCCGTGGGAACACTTCCTGTATTTTATGGAATGAAGTGTTGCTGGATTCTAACATTAAGCCAATTAAATTATCATTTTGTCCCTTGACAGTGTGAGTTTTCAGCCTGTCTGACATACGCGTTCTATTTCCTTTCTTGGATTCTGCTGCCAGGCATGCATATCTGAAGATTTGGTCCTGTATGTCCTGGAACCACGATGATGTGAGAGTATTAGGGAAATAAGGTGATGGTGATTGGTACTGGTTTTTCATTCACTGCCCTAACCAATTGCATAGGTTTAGTGGCCTATCTTAGACTGTGGGCTTGAAGTTCTACTCAGGTATCACTGGGTGAAAATCAAGCTGTGGCAGGGCTGCCTTCCTTTCTGGAAGTTTGTGGGCTAAATCCCCTTCCCAATTTCCCAGGGCTGCCCACCTGATTTGGCTGAGTAACCCTCCTTCATTTTCAATGGCAGCAGCATTGCATACGTGGTTGTTCTGCTGTGACATCTCCCTGTGACTGCTCGTCTGCCTTCCTCTTTCACTTTTTTTTTTTTTCAAGATTTTATTTATTTGAAAGTCAGAGCTACATAGAGAGAGGGAGATACAGAGAGAGTGTTCTTCCATCTGCTGGTTCACTCCCCAGATGGCTACAATGACCCGGGCTGAGCCATGCCCAAGCCAGGAGCCAGGAGCTTCTTCTAGGTCTCCCACGTTGGTGGCAGGGGTCCAAGCACTTGAACCATATTGCACTGCTTTCTCAGGTGCATTAGCAGGGAACTGGATCGGAAGTGTAGCAAACTGGGACACGAACCGGCACCCATATAGAATGCTGGCACCACAGATGGGGGCTTTACCAGCTATGCCCTTCCTGCTTCACTTTTAAGGACACTTGCAATTACCTTGGATCCTCACAGATAATCCAGTATGATCTCCATATTTTCAAGTCAGCTTATTAGGAACCTTAATTCAATCTGCAGCCTAATTCTCCTTTGCAGGGTAACCTAACATACTCATGGATTCTTGGGATTAGAATGTGGACATTCTGCCTACCACATGATTGCATAAAAGGAAGAAATTACTGTACATTACACTTACGCAAAAAGGGAAAATACATCCAGATGCTCACTATGCTGCACGAGTTCTGGAAGGATTATGCAGTACACCATGTATATTGAGTCTTTAGTGCAAGCTCTTAAGAATTTTAGCATTGTCACAATAGTTTAAAGAATCAGTTAAGTAATGTTATAGTTTCTGTCTTCTGGACATGTGGTAAGAGGACTTCATATGCCCATGTTGTCCTGATCAGAACACATACTCAAGTCAAGACATCATGCAGTTCTATGAATCAAGTGCTTTTGGCGTGTAAACTTGGGCGATGTTAGGTGCCATGCATACCTCTGCCTTTCATATAAAATAAATTTAAAAAATTTTAAAAAACAAAAACAACATACAGGGGCTGGCATTGTGGTGCAGCAGGTTAAGCCATCTCTTGCGAAGCTGGCATCCCCTACGGGCCTTGGTTCAAGTACCAGCTGCTCCATTTCTGACCCAACCCCCTGCTAATGCACCTGGGAAAGCAGTGGAGGATCACCTGAGAGCTTGGGGCCCCACCACCCAGGTTAGAGACCCAGATGGAGTTGCAGGTTCCTGGATTCTGACCATTGCAGCCATTTGGGGAGTGAACCAGTAGATGCAAGATCTCTCTCTCTCTCTGACTCTTTTTCAGATAAATGAATCTTAAAAAAAGAAATAAACATATAATATGTTTACCATCCAAGTTTTTTTTACCCAGGAGGAGGTTTTGTGAAAACTCCAGGTGAGATTGCCTGTATAGAGAAAGAATTTGTTAGGAGCTGTTAAGCTCCGTTTACATTTGGGGAATAAAATAGAGAGAACTAAATATTTAAATCAAAACCTTTGGGAAGCCGGCGCCGCGGCTCAATAGGCTAATCCTCCGCCTTGCGGCGCCGGCACACCGGGTTCTAGTCCCGGTCTGGGTGCCGGATTCTGTCCCGGTTGCCCCTCTTCCAGGCCAGCTCTCTGCTGTGGCCAGGGAGTGCAGTGGAGGATGGCCCAAGTATTTGGGCCCTGCACCCCATGGGAGGCCAGAAGCACCTGGCTCCTGCCTTCGGATCAGCGTGGTGCGCCGGCGGCGGCCATTGGAGGGTGAACCAACGGCAAAGGAAGACCTTTCTCTCTGTCTCTCTCTCTCTCACTGTCCACTCTGCCTGTCAAAAAAAAAAAAAAAAAAAAAAAAAAAAAAAAAAAAAACAAAACAACCCTTTGGGAAAATGTGGGAGGTTAAAATAGTAGCATTTTAAAAAAAATATCTGTTTATTTGAAATAGTTACAGAGAGAGAAGGAGATAGAGAGAGAGAGAGAATCTTCCATCCTCTGGTTCACTCCCCACATGGCCACAACGACTGGAGATAGACCAGGCTGGAGCCGGGAGCCAGGAGCTTCTTCTCGATCTCCTGTGTGGGGTCAGGGGCCCTGGAACCTTGGGCCAGCTTTCACTGCCTTCCCAGGCGTACGTATTAGCAAGGAGCTGGATCGGAAGTGAGCAGCCAGGACTCAAGCTGGAGCCCACACGTGATGCCTGCGCTGTGGCACAGCAGTAGTATTTTTAAATGAGGCATAGTGTTATGATTGGGAGATGAACTACAAAAAATGTTAATACCAGGCCGGCGCCGCGGCTCACTAGGCTAATCCTCCGCCTTGCGGCGCCGGCACACCGGGTTCTAGTCCCGGTCGGGGCGCCGGATTCTGTCCCGGTTGCCCCTCTTCCAGGCCAGCCCTCTGCTGTGGCCAGGGAGTGCAGTGGAGGATGGCCCAGGTGCTTGGGCCCTGCACCCCATGGGAGACCAGGAAAAGCACCTGGCTCCTGGCTCCTGCCATCGGATCAGCACGGTGCACCGGCCGCAACGCGCCGGCCGCGGCGGCCATTGGAGGGTGAACCAACGGCAAAGGAAGACCTTTCTCTCTGTCTCTCTCTCTCACTGTCCACTCTGCCTGTCAAAAAAAAAAAAAAAAAAAAAAAAAAAGTTAATACCTATTTTTTGTAGATTGTGTTGAAAAGCAGTGGGTTTTTAGAGTTACGTATTTATAGATGTGAAATGATTTCAAATGCAGACTTTGGATATAAACCACATGGTAATAAAAGCTTTCATGATCAGAGAAATGATAGAACAAAGAAGCGCTGTTTCAGGGCAGGTGTTTGGCCTAGCAATTAAGAAACTGATTGGAATGCCTGAGTCCTAATTAGAGTGCTTGAGTTTGACTCCTGGCTCCAACTCTTGTTTCCAGTTTCCTGCTAATGCAGACTTTACAAGGTAGCAACGTTAACTCACAGAAGTTTGGTTCATGCTACCACTGTGGGAGAGCTGGATTGAGTTCCCAGCTCCTAGCTTTAGACCATTCCAGCTTTAGCCATTGCAAATATTTACTCCTGTTTCTACCTCTCAAATAAGTAAATAAAAATTTTAAAAGTTATCCTAAAAAAGAAGAAATATTTCTTCCATAAAAGGTAAATTCTTTCTTTCCTGAATATATATTATTTTAAAAATATTTACTTGTTATAGTAAATCAGGAATCATGGCAGCCGGTGAAGACAACAAACAGCAAGTTTTGAAGGAATATGCAGACGCAACATTGGAGAACGCAGAAATTGAGGTAAAAAGGGGAAATTACTAGGTATTATAAAAAAATCTGTTGGTTCTTTATTAGTTTTGAAGTAAGGCATCCTTTGTATGTCTTTGACATTACCATGAATTTGGGAGGCCATTGGGCACTCATATTTTTTTTACTTCCACTTTGTCATCCAAGTCTTATAAGAAGGATCCTATTTCTGTTCTTTCTCTTATAAAGTCTACAACATTCGCTGCCTTCTTACTCCCTCCTTTCTTGGATTTGAACCCGAAAAGTGAATAGTTTAACAATTATCTGATCAGACCACAAGTAGTGACAGTGGCTGGATAGCTTAAGACATGTACCCAAGGCCATATGCCTGGCATGTCAGAGCAGCTGCGTACTATGGGAATAACAGGTAATCTTATAAAAGCTAGCCTCAGAGTGACATGTCCACAGTTATAGTGCCATTTAAGAATCATATGGTAGTCTCAAATAGCTGGGAAGGGACTGAGCTCTCAGAAGATCTGAGTCTCAATCCCAGCCTTAACTTTAACCATTTCTGCGATTATGGTACAGTGTGGAAGGTAGTTTCCTTTTTCATTAATGCAGATAATAAAACTTGGCAGAGTCATAGCTGATGAGGTAAACTATTCAACAAATCTATTATCCATATAATCGTTCTTATTCTGAGACTGTCTAAAGCCCCTGTTCGCTTTGCTCTGGGTAAAAGACACTTAGCATCTTTAATTCATTTAGAAAAATGATTTCAGGAGCTGTTTAAGTTTTTTGGAACCATTTCATATTTTTTAGAGATTAATTGATGATATTGCAAAGGAAAATGCCCTGCTGAAGGAGGAGATCCAAAAGTTTGAAGCTGAGTTGCAAGAGAACCCCGGAGACTTCCAGGTAGTCCTTTAATTATTTAATACACCACATTTTTAATGGATATGCACTCTGCAGGGAAAGCTATTTAATCTATAGAATTCACCTTTAAAGCATTGTGATCATCCATGGCACTTTTATTTGTAATTAACCCCAAATGGAAAGCAACCCAAAGCCCTACTGTCATGGACTGAATCAATATTAGGGTATATTTACACAATGGAATACTGTACAGTAATAAGAATACACAGACCATAGCTACATACAACTAGGGTGACTCTTACAAACACAATATTGACCCAGATAGGATAGATGAGGGCATATCGCGTGCCTCTATTTAAATAATAACAAGGGGCCAATGCTGTGGCTCACTTGGTTAATCCTCCGCCTGCGGCACCAGCATCCCATATGGGCGCCGGGTTCTAGTTCCAGATGCTCCTCCTCCAGTCCAGCTCTCTGCTGTGGCCTGGGATGGCAGTGAAGGATGGCCCAAGTGCTTGGGCCCCTGCACCCACATGGGAGACCAGAAGGAAGCACCTGGCTCCTGGCTTCGGATCAGCGCAGCACCGGCCATAGCGGCCATTTAGGGGGTGAGCCAACGGAAGGAAGACCTTTCTCTTTGTCTCTCTCTCTCTCACTGTCTAACTCTGCCTGTCAAATAAATGAAAAAAATAATAATAAAAGCAGGATGTTCAAAATTAGGATAATAGCTACCTTTGGAAGTGAGTTAGATCCATAAGGGAAACCAAGAGGATTTCTAGGGTGTTGTCACGTTTGTGTGTTGTCTGGGTCCTGGTTATATGTGTGTCTTAGTGTGGAATTTCATATTGCTGTATATTTGTGGTACAGGCACTTTTCTATTATTTCTTTAGTAAATGTTATAAAAACAAGAGTTAATAAAATTTACAAAAACAGAAAAGGTGGTAATTAGTAATCAGTCTTGGATCAAATTTTTGGTCTTCTCACTGATACCTTTTGTTATTCTGCTCATCCAAAGTGGCAGAGTAATTTGAATGAGTTTCACAGAAAAATTGGGTGTATATTAACTGTCATCATTTAAATTCTCTCTTTTTTGGTATTTGAATTTGATATAGCTTTCACCCTTGTTTTCCTGTTACCAGCTAAGACTGTTAAGAAATGAAACCATTGTCAGTGTTTGTTTCTGAAATAGAGGATAGGATTCACATGGGTGGACATCAGGAAGCAAGGCTGCCTGTCTCTGGCGTGGGCGACTTCTAGCAGAAAGCTCTGTTAGGGGTCCGGTTACTTCCAAGACTGGAACCAAGTCATTTGGTCTTACCCCAAAGAAACCAGCCAGCACAGTTGACACCTTTTACAGAGGACACAAACTGCGACTCAGAGAGCTAAGGTGAACTGCTCCTAGCCTCAGGCCTTTCTCTAACTTCAGAAAGCTCTTGACATTTCAGAGTATAAAGAGTATTTCTACATTACTGGGAAACCTGCGTTTTCTCAGACATTGCAAATTGTTTTGAAATTAGCTATGGGAGTCAGATATTCTACTGAAGTTGCATGTAAAGACGCAAAATAAATGTAAACTTAGAACAAATAACTCTCTGAATGTTTCTGATCTGTTTAGGTAATATCTTTCATTTCAACCTGTAAAATAACCATGCGAAACAGAAATGTGAACAACAAACTCATTTGGTTACATTTTTGTGTAGTTGTATATGTCCGTTAATCCCAATGGTTTTAAACAGTTAAGTAAAACCTAACCTTATTCTCTAGATTATAATTCTAGTTGATACTGTGTGTTCACATTTTTATAAACCTAAGTTGTGATGATGGTTGAAAAGTTGATGAGCAGATGCTGTAAAGACAGAATTTAAAACTGATACTTTCTTAAAAGTTTATTTATTTAGTTGAAAGTCAAAGTTACAGAGAGAGAGAGAGTGTGGGAGAGAGACAGAGACAGAGACAGAGAGACCTTCTATCTGCTGAGTCACTGCCAAGATGGCCATAATAGCCAGGGCTGGGCAAGGCTGAAGTAGGGAGCAAGGAGCTCCTGCCAGGTCTCCCACATGAGTAGCAGGGGCTCAAGCACTTAGGCCATACTTTGCTGCTTTTCCCAGGCCATGAGCAGGGAGCCTAATTGAAAGTGGAGCATCAGGACACAAACCGGTGCCCGTATGGGATGCCGCATTGCAGGTGGCGGCTTTACTCACTACATCACGATGCTGGCCCTTAAATTTAGTAAATTTTAAATCATATGATTCAGGAGGCTTTCATTTAGACAAAATTATCTGGAATTGCCATCAGAATAACCACATATATTCAACTTTATATTTCATAATTATTTGCAGTGAAATTAAATATACTGTCCAATGATTCCATTGTGATAGTCTATTATTAACACAGTTGTTTAAAGGGTCCTTATCCATATGAAGGACATAAGCTTCCGAATAGAACTTCCTATAATATTGACCTTCTTAAATGTTGATTAGAAAAAGTGAGAGGAGTATAACCCCATAATTTAATTTGTGAGATGATATTAAAGGATCAGTATTTGATTACATTATAGAGTACTTGCATAGGAAGAAGCAATTTTTTTTTAGATACTTCTATTTTTTTAACTTTTATTTAGCAAATATAAATTTTCAAAGTACAGCATATGGATTACAATGTTTTTTTCCCCCCATAACTTCTCTCCCACCCGCAACCCTCCCTTCTCCCGCTCCCTCTCCCGTCCCATTCACATCAAGATTCATTTTCAATTATCTTTATATACAGAAGATCAATTTAGTATATATTAAGTAAAGATTTCAACAGTTTGCACCCACACAGAAACACAAAGTATAAAGTACTGTTTGAGTACTAGTTATACCATTGATTCACATAGTACAACATATTAAGGACAGAGATCCTACATGGAGAGTAAGTGCACAGTGACTCCTGTTGTTGATTTAACAATTGACACTCTTGTTTATGGCATCAGCAATCACCTGAGGCTCTTGTAATGAGTTGCCAAGGCTATGGAAGCCTTTTGAGTTCGCCGACTCTGATCTTATTTAGACAAGGTCATAGTCAAAGTGGAAGTTCTCTCCTCCCTTCAGAGAAAGGAACCTCCTTCTTTGATGGCCCGTTCTTTCCGCTGGGATTTCACTCACAGAGATCTTGGAAGAAACAATTATTAAAGATATTAAAACCATACTCAATATTCTGTGAAATCAATGGAGAATGAATTATTGGGTAAGCAATTATCATTGGAAAGACTTAAGTTATTTCTTGATTTTAATCAAATATTTCTGCTTGAATTAGATTAAAGAAGATATTCCTGGAACAAAGATGAAATTCGTATCAGTAGAGAATCCTGTGAATGACAACCAGTTTTTAAATGTTTCCTGTTCATTTCAAGTGAATCTGGAAGTTCCTTATGAGCTACAAAAAGGACAAGCACTTGTCACATTTGAACAGGAGGAAGGTATGACCAGTGTTCAAGACTACAGCCCTGGGAGCTTCGGGAAGCTCTTGGACGTCCACAGGTCTTTTACAGATATTTAGCTATTGCTTTACAGTTTCATGTGTATCATTTCTTCTCATTCTCATAGTGACACTTCTGTGGCAGGTATGAATAACCACCCCCTCTTTTCTTTTTAAAGATTTATTTATTTATTTGAAAAGCAGAGTTATAGAGAAGCAGAGAGAGAGAGAGGTCTTCCATTCGTTGATTCACTCCTCAAAATGGCCACAACAGCTGGAGCTGGGCTGATCTGAAGCCAGGAGACTGGAGCTTCTTCCAGGTCTCTTGCATAGGTGCAGGGGCCCAAGGACTTGGGCCATTTTCTACTGCTTTACAGGCCATAGCAAAGAGCTGGACAGGAAGTGGAGCAGCCAGGGCTCAAACCAGCACTGGCACTGCAGGTGGCAGTTTTACCCGCTATGCCACAGTGCCAGGCCTTGAATAGCCCCTTTTGATGGATGAGGAAACTTACTCTGAGATGTGAAGTACCTTGAATATGATCATATTCAAAATATAATAACAGTAATAAGGTTGTAGAATTCTGCAGACCTCAGAGTGTTCTCAGAGACATCCCATTTTGTACTGCATACTCTATAGTGCAGTCAGATAGAACAGTTAACTAGTTCTTTCTCAGTATCCTTGAGAGATTGGTTCCAGGACCCTCACTGATACCAAATTCCATAGATGCTCACATAACATGGTATAGTGCAGTCAGTCACACACTACATGACATGCCAGTTTATAAGCAACTACTTACACTGAGATACTTACCCATCTCAGTTTGGGTAAGCTCACTCTATAATGTTCACTTGACAGTGAAATTGCCAAATGATGCACTTCTCAGGACATGTCCCGACACTGAGCTGCATGTGATGCTGTTTGCATTTAACATGCATATCCTCCTGTGTCTTTAAATTACTTGTCATTCCTACTACTGTATAAATGCTATGCAAATAGTTACAAGTGCTATATAAATGGCTATACTGTGTAAGGAACATTGACAAGGAAAGAAGAGTCTGTACATGTTGACTTACAGGCACAGTTGTTGTTTTCAGATATTTTGCATATGTGGTTGGTTGAACCTGGGGATGTAGAAACTGTGGATACAGAGGTGGGCTCTATTTACAGTTTACGGCCAAGAAAACAGACCCTGAGGATTTACTTATGGGCACATAACTAGGAAATGGAGAGAACTTGGGAGTAAGGCATTTGGGGTGGGACCTGATGTTTGCTAAGTCTGCCAAGATGTGGGCCCCTGCTCAGAGCTGGGGGCTTCTTAATGAGGGGGATGTGGCTTTGGGTACCAGCCTTGCCCCTTTCTAGAAGCATGATTCGGATGGGTTCTTTATAAATCTCATATTTTTTATGACGGACTGTGGTAGTTCCTACTTCCTGGTGAGGATTAAATGAGAAATGTTGGCAGAATACTTAGCCCAGTGACTGCCACATAATAAATGCTTATACATGTCAGCTGTTATTACTGCTACACATTAGGAATCTTCCAGATGAGGAAACAGAGGCTTAAAGAAGAGAAATAATTTGCTCAAGGTCCATACAGTTAAAAATTGCCGAGGTAAGTGAAATCTCTGAGTGCTCCTGTATTTTCTATTGGACCAACAGTCCTCTGCACAGATTGTCATCCTGGGTAGGTGATGGCATGGAGCTAGGTGGTCTTCATAGACATTCCCGTGGCAAGATCCTGAGAATGTGTGATTACAACCCACGCCTCCTGACGTCTGGTCCACTGCTCTTGCCTGAAAATAAGTGTGAAAGTAAAGTTGATTTAGCCGGCGCCGTGGCTCACTAGGCTAATCCTCTGCCTTGCGGCGCCGGCACACCGGGTTCTAGTCCCGGTCGGAGCACCGGATTCTGTCCCAGTTGCCCCTCTTCCAGGCCAGCTCTCTGCTGTGGCCAGGGAGTGCAGTGGAGGATGGCCCAAGTGCTTGGGCCCTGCACCCCATGGGAGACCAGGATAAGTACCTGGCTCCTGCCTTCGGATCAGTGCGGCGCGCCGGCTGTGGCGGCCATTGGAGGGTGAACCAACGGCAAAGGAAGACCTTTCTCTCTGTCTCTCTCTCTCACTGTCCACTCTTCCTGGCACGGAAGAACTCAAAAAAAAAGTAAAGTTGATTCCAGCAGGTCTTCATATACACAGATGAGGCATGTATCCCGTGTGCTTTCATTCAGTCTGGAGCCAACACTACAGCTGAGGGTGCAGGAGGAGACCAAGGACCATGCTGGCAGTGGTAATTGGGACAGGCACAAATGAGGATTTGAGGGGCGGGCTTCTGCGCAGTAGTCGCCTGGGAGTGACGACATTGAGATTCTCTTCAGAAATAACCACATCACTTCTTCTACCCTTGACATGGCTCTCAGGTTCCCACTCCTGGGACAACATTGGGTTTAAGTACGATTAATCAGGAGCTGGCTTTTGACTATCAAGAATCACAGATGTTGAGACACGAGCAGTCACTCTCAACTGGGTCAGATCATCAGATGTTGGGGACTCTTTTGGGAGTGGTAGGGAAAGAGGATCATCCGAGTATGACCTCACTGATGTTTTGTTATTGTCGTCTGTTGCCGTTAGCAAAAAAAAAAAAAAAAAACTTCCAAGTTAGAGAGTCATGCTGCGGTACGGCTAGCCTGAATTTCCACAGAACAACGCCCTGCTTTCTAGCTGCGTTTTTCTCCTCCTCCAGCTGTGCTGTGCTCTCTGGTTGCCATAAACACATGTGACGTTTACAAGGCATAGAGCAACCACCTGTTATCTTCTTGATAAATTAGAATGAGCGGCTCCAGATAGCAACAAATGAATGTTATACACTCATGTCACGCAATTAAAAATTAATGCCCATCCACATACATTTTAAACAGATACCGAGTTTGTTCTCTGGAGTTCTAATCGTTTTTGGCATAATTGTATTACTGACCTTTTCTCATTTGTATGGATTAATTAGACTTGACAGATCTGTGATTGGCTTAACAGGGCTATCAGCTTTTTAAAGCATGATCTCAAGGGCATTTTACAAAAAAAAGAATTCCTCATTAAGTATGGCAAACAAAAAAGGCACTCTGATATATTCAAGCCTATGTTTAATATGTTATCCTTGGGAAGATATAGACAAAAATGAATATATACTTCTATGGTGCTAGGGACATATAGGGATGATTGTCAAATAGTAAAGTTGAATAAGTGTAAATATGACACTGATCCAGAGATGTTTTCCCAACTTACTCAGCATGGAAGAATTTCTGGCTATGCTGAATATGGTAGGGAAATTTTCTGGCAATGCTGTCAATGGTGTGAAAGAAAGTATGTGGATGAACTAAAATAGAATATGAGTTCATGGAGGAATTATCAGTCTTATCTCTTGATATAAGGGAAGAGATTGTCACTTAAGATGAATCTAGGATTTGAGAATGTCTACCATGATTTTTCTGATGGTTGTGATATTTAATATTTCTTTTTTGGGTGGCAAGACCATTATCACTTGGGATTCTCTAGAAAAATGTTACAATTACAAAATAGATAATTCATGATAATCTGTCTTAAACTAAAAGCATTAAAAATTAAAAATATCTCAAAATGCTGGAAATTAATCCTTCCCAAATTATTTTTCAGTTGCCCAAAATGTGATAAGAATGGGAAATCATTGTGTGCAGATACAGGATATAAACATGAAGGTTAAGGCCAAGCCGGTCCCATTAAACTCAGGAGTCAGATTCCAGGTAAGTGATTAAAGTTTTTTTAAAATTTCATTAAGTAAGAACATTTTCTCATCATTCATTGTTTCATAAATTTGAAACAATTTTATAGGTTTGTGCAGAAATTTCTAAAGTGAAGATCAATGTTAATGGAATTCCTGATGAATTGCCTGAAGATCAGATGCGGGATAAACTAGAACTGAGTTTTTGTAAGACCCGAAATGGAGGTGGAGAGGTGGAAAGTGTCAAGTATGATAAGCGGACCGGAAGTGCTGTCATCACATTTGTGGAAACTGGAGGTACTCACACATTGGACATTTAACAAATGCCCTACTGTATCAGTTATTTTCTGCTATTTCTGAAAGTATTCAAACTCTTCATTTTGTAATTTTTAAATATTTTATTTATTTATTTGAGAGGCAGAGTTACAGACAGAGAGGGAGAGACACAGAGAGAGGTCTTCTATCCTCTGGTTCATTCCCCAAATGGCCGCAGTGGCTGGAGGTGGGCTGATCTGAAGCCAGGAGCCAGGAGCTTTTTGTGGGTCTCTCACACTGATGCAGAGGGCCGAGCACTTGGGCCATCTTTCACTGTCTTCCCAGCCCATAAGCAGAGAGCTTGATCAGAAGAGGAGTAGCCAGGACACGAATGATGTCCATATGGGATGCCAGCACTGCAGGTGGAGGCTTAGCCTACTACGCCACAGCACTGGACCCCCAATTCTACTTTTTAAATTTAAAATTTATTAAACAACATAGTAATTGAGGATTTGTAAAAAAACATTTGTTTATTTGAAAGGGAGAGTGACAGAGAGAGAGAGAGAGAGAGAGAGAGAGAAAATCTTCATCTGCTGGTTCACTCCCTGGATGACCACAATAGCCAGGTCTAGGCCAGACTAGCTGGGCTCTCACAGGAGCCAGGAACACTACCTTGGTCTCTCACATGAGTGACAGGTAACTCACCTAAGATCACAGTGTGTGTGACACAGCAATTGAAATATATCAGTGTACACACACACACATACATATATATATTATATACACACACACTCATACAAGAAAGCTTCCAAAAGTTCATGGAAAATGTGCATTATGAAAAAACTGCATGGATTTCAAAAAAATTTTTTGCACCAAAATAAATTTGTTTTAATTTCATTTTCCCACAGAGTTTGATCTACTCTTGTAGAAAAACCTGTTGTTTCCTTTTTACATGGTATTAATATACCACATTTCTTAAGTGGAAGGAATCTGTTCCAGGGAGGAGAGTAGAGATGACTGGAAAGAGCAGGTTGATATTTGTTCTTTTGTAAGTTAGAAATGGACTTCTACCAAATCATCTTGGAGGATTTACAAGCTTAAGATGGAAAATAGGAAAATAGGAGATTCTCTAGCTTTCTTTGTTAATAAAGTTCATGGGAAAATGCTTATTGTGAAAAAACTATATCATCTCCGAAAAATTTTGCAACAAAATGTACTTATCTATTAATTTCATTTTCCATGAACATTTTGGAGTATTTTCCTATTGGAAGTACCACCTGGGGATGTATGGACAGGATATTGTCTGGGATAGGGATGAGGAGACAGGATATATTTTTAAACTTGTCTTCACTTTTTTCTTTTCTTATTTTTTCAAAAGATTTATTTTTTTTCTTTGAAAGGCAGAGTTAGAGAGATTGCCCAGAGCCCCAGCTACACCCTTCACCCTCTCTTGAAGTCAGAGTTCCCACAGTCTCAGCACACAAGCCTTCCGCAGTCACAGGGTGCGGAGGATCCGCTCTGCTCAGCTAGACTGTCCTGTCTACAGAGAGGCAGAAACGTCCCCCCAGCCAGCTGCCTGTGGTTGCTCTGCCTAGGCAGTTTGAGACCCAGAGCCTGTGATATGTGGAGAGGCTGTGGACACCCCGCAGTCCTACGTGGGTGCCCAGCCCCCTGTCAGTCCTCTCAACCAGACTCAAAGTCAATGGGGAATGTGGATTTTCCCCCTCTGGTAAAATTCCTAGATCACAGATGTGCCCAAGAACTGCCAGTCCACAGCCCATTCTCATTTCACAATGATGGTTTCTTGCTGCTGGTTGCCAGGTGTGTGCACCAGAGCTGCTGTCACAGCTACTGACAAGATGGCATCTCATCTCGGCTGGGCATGTGCACAAGAGCTGACATAGCTGTTACATTTGTCCAAAATGGCACCTGCCCTCTCTCAGCTGGATGCCAGGTGCCATTGTGTGGGGGACAGGCAGAAACATGCCCTTTTCCCCCGCACTGGGTTAGCAAGTACCCTGTTTCCCATAGGGCTCCAGGCTGGATTCACACCAGACTCTCCCTGCTGTTACCTCGCCGGTGGCGTGGGCTGCCGCAGTCTGAGCTCATGTCATTCTGCAAAGCTGGCACTCTCTCAGGCTCTGTGCTGCGGGGGTCCTGTGTTGTTTGCATGTTAGTGCTGTGCATCTGTACCCTCCATGTAGATCCACAGCGTTGCTCTTCCTCCTGTAGAATTTCCACTGCCGTTTTCTCCCTAACTCTCCTTGAGAATGCACTCACTTCCTTGCTCTCTCTCTGTCTCTCTCTCTCTCTTTTTTTTTTAAACTATCTTTCTCTAGCCTAGAGCAGAGCACTCCCTCCCTATTCTGCCATCTTCACTTTCCCCAGTTTTTCTTTTACTTTTACTTTTTTTTTTTTCTTATTTGACAGATAGAGTTAGACAGTGAGGGAGAGAGACAGAGAGAAAGGTCTTCCTTCCATTGGTTCACCCCCAAAATGGCCGCTATGGCCGGAGCTATGCCGATCCAAAGCCAGGAGCCAAGTGCTTCTTCCTGGTCTCCCATGCGGGTGCAGGCACCCAAGCACTTGGGCCAGCCTCCACTGCCTTTCTGGGCCACAGCAGAGAGCTGGACTGGAAGAGGAGCAACCAGGACTAGAACCTGGCACCCATATCGGATGCCGGCGCCGCAGGCGGAGGATTAACCAAGTGAGCCATGGCGCCGGCCCACTTTCCCCAGTTTCTCTAAAAGACATTCCAGGCTCCTCTTCCTTGCCTTGACTTGTAGTTAACATCACTATTTCAATTTCCTGAATATCATGTATTAGTTATAGGACAACTTAAGTAATTTACTGGATGTGTGTGAGTATATTATTATATTTAAATATATTTACAATTTATAACACACATGTATGCAATGGAAAATGGAACTGAAAGTTTCTTTTGGTTCAAAAAATTTTTGAAAACCATACATGGTTTTTCCGTATATGCATTTTCTGTGAACTTTTAAAGACTCCTTGTATATGATACTCTAATCATCGTTTTCATTTATACTTCTTGAGAAACTAGGAAACATTCTAGTCTTGTTAGAATGATTGGATGAATTTCTGCAGCTGATTTTTATGTTTTACGCAGCTCAGAGTAGGTCTTGTTAAGGATGTTACTGCCCTCTGAATATTGTTGGTTGCAGTGGATAGTTTAAGAGAAAAAGAAGCATTTAAAACTATTTTTTTTTATTTTTAAAAACTATGTGCTTGAGTCTTCAAAATGGAGTGTATAATTCTTTAGAAATTAATCACTGAGGGGCCTGTGTTGTAGTGTAGAGAGTTAAGCTGCCACCTGTGATTCTGGCACCCTATTGTGGAACACTGATTTGAGTCCCGGCTGCTCTGCTTCTGATCCAGCTCCCTGATAGTGCCCTCGTGCTTAGGCTGTTACCACCTATGTGGGAGCTCTGGATGGTGTTCCGAGCTCCTGGCTTTGTCCTGGACCAGTCCCAGCCATTATGGCCATCTAGGGAGTGAAGCAGCAGATGGAGATCCCTTTTTCTCTCTGGGTCTCTCTGTGTCTCTGTAACTCTGCCTTTCAAATAACTAACTAACTAACTAGCTAACTAAATAAATAAATCTTTACAAAAGTGAACAATCATGTTGTAGTGTTCACTGCAGTATTTTCTCTAAATGCCATCTTGCACAGCATATTATCTAATTCTAGTTCATAGAGTTACAGAGAGAGAGGGAGAGAGAGAGAGAGAGAGAGAGAGCGAGAGCGAGCGCTAGCTACCTTCCATTCTTCCATTTGATGCTCCAAATATCTGCAATGGCCAGGACTGGGCAAGGCTGAAGCCAGGAGCCACGAGTTTTATCTGGGTCTCCTATGTGGGTTCAGGGGCCCAAGCACTTGGGCCATCTTCCACTGCTTTCCCAAGCACATTAGCAGGGAGCTGGATCAGAAGTGGAGCAGCTGGGACTTGAACCAGTGCCCATATTGGATGCCTTGCATTGCAGGTGGAGGCTTAACTTGCTGTGCCACAATGCTGATCTCTTGTAGGAAGTTTTAATTTGATTAAATGTTTGTGATACTAAAGAGAACCATTTCTTTTTATTTACTTTTAGTTGCTGACAGGATTTTGGAAAGGAAAGATTATCCTCTTTACACAAATCTGAAGTGCCATAGAGTGATGGTTTCTCCATACATGGAAACACATTTGAAAAAGTATCAGGTAAAGTCACTTCTTTTCTTTCAGTTGGAGAACTCACTGCCCAAGCCCACCCCACAAAAAATAAAGAAAAATTTGTATCTGTTACTATTTGAATGTTATCAGCTGGGAACATCAAAATAGTGACTTCATTTTTGCTTGATACAGAATGAATTTGTCTTCTTAAAGACTTTTAATATAAATCTGTGTCTTATTTATTGTACTGATTTTTATTTTAAAATATATTTATTTATTTTCATTTTACTTGAAAGACAAAGAGATATTCCATACACTGATTCACTCCCCCAAATGCCCTCAATAGCCAGAGCCGGGCCAGATCGAAACCAGGAGCTGGAAACTCTATCCAGGTCCCTTGTTTGGATGGCAGGAACCCAAGTACTTCAGCCTTGTCTGCTGTCTCCCAGGGTGTGCATTAGGAGGAGGATGGACCAGACACAGATGGGCCAGCACTGGAACCAGGCACTCTGATAATGGGATGGAGCATCCCAAGAGGCAACTTAACTGCTCTACCAAAAGCCCATCTTCATTATACAGTTTTTTTTTTTTTTTTAAAGATTTATTTGGCCGGCGCCATAGCTCACTTGGCTAATCCTCCGCCTGCAGCGCTGGCACCCGGGTTCTTGTCCCGGTTAGGGCGCAGGTACTAGTTCCGGTTACTCCTCTTCCAGTCCAGCTCTCTGCTGTGGCCCGGGAGGGCAGCGGAAAATGGCCCAAGTGCTTGGGTCCCTGCACCCGCATGGGAGACCCAGAAGAAGCTCCTGGCTCCTGGCTTCGGATCGGCGCAGTGCCGGCTGTGGCGGCCATTAGGGGAGTGAACCAACGGAAGGAAGACCTTTCTCTCTGTCTCTCTCTCACTGTCTACAACTCTACCTGTGTCTCTCTCTCACTGTCTAACTCTGCCTGTCAAAAAAAAAAAAAAAAAAAGATTTATTTATTTATTTGAATGGTAGAGACACAGAAATAAGGGCGGGGGGGGGGGGCGTGGAGAAACCTCCCATCTGCTGGTTCATTCCCCAAATGGCTACAATGGCTCTGGCTGGGCCAGCCCGAAACTAGGAGCCAGGGGTTTCTTCTGTTTCTCCCATGTGGTTGCAGGACCCCAAGCACTTGGCTGTCCACTGTCGCTTTCCCAGGATGTTAGCAGAGAGCTGTATCAGAAGTGGAGCAGTTAGGACTCAAATTGGTGCCCATAAGGGATGCCGGCACTACAGGCAGAGGCTTAACTTTCTACACCACAGTGCCAGCCCTAGTCATACAGTTTTTTGAGCGGAAAATTCAACATGATGGCATGACCTTTATTTTTAAGGTGGAGACATATGTTCATTTCTCTCATATGTCTACTCATTGTGTCGCTCCCCCTCTTCGTGGAGGAGCAACACAGGACCCTGCGCTGTTCTTTCGTCTGCTCGGCCCTCCCCGGGTTTGCTGCTGGTTCTTCCCGGGTTGGCTACTATCCCTTCCACCTCCGTGGAAGGGCAGTTCCCCCTGGCCACATTCCCCACCTTCCGCAGGGGAGCGGCACACCGCCAGCCGGCTCTACTCGGGGGCTGCACAGGTGTTCCTTCAGCTAGATGTTCCCCATAGATGTTCCCGGTGCATGCCGTCTCTCTCCTCCTTTATAGTCCTCCTCCGCCAATCCCAACTCGGCTGCCCACACGCCGAGTACGCTGCTCTCCAATCAGGAGCAAGTCCTACAGTTAATTGGTTGAACTGGAGGCAGCTGTGCGGAAGCTGTTTACTTCTCTCCCAGCGCCATATTGTGGGAGAGCAGATGCATAGAATAAGTCTTAATTCCAGTAACAGTCTAGTCCGGTTTGCTCCCCACAGATCCCCCTTTCTTTTTATTTTTGGCGTTGATACGCGCCTGTCTTCGGTGTCCCGCGGCACACACTCTGCTCTACTTGCTAGAGTTGCCACAGGCTCTTACAAGTCCTATCAATCAGGAAAACCGAATCCGGGTCCTCTCTTTGCCATTGTGAGGAGGTTTTTAGGCGCTGATGCGTGCCTGTGTTCGGTGCCCTGCAGCGCATGCTCTGCTCTGCCTGCAGGGGACTTACAAGACCTATCAGGCAAACCGAATCCAAGCCTTCTCATTGCCTTATTGTGGGGGAGACTTATTAGTGTTGGTTCGTGCCTATCTTCGGTGACCTGCAGCTCATACGCTGGTCGAGCTGCTTGCTGGCGCTTACCGCCTTAAATCAGGCAGACCGAATCCAAGCTTAATATTGTTGTATTGTGGGGAAGCCTTACTGATGTTAATTCGTGCCTGTCTTCGGTGACCTGCGGCGCATAAGCTGCTAGCTGCCCGCAGGTGCTCATCGCCTCACTTGATTAGGCAGACCGAATCCAAGCTCTCACATTGCAGTGTTGTAGGGAGGCCTTTTTATTTCTCTATTTCTCTATCTCCGGGCATTCCTATTTCTCCCATTTTACTTCTATCTTCCAGCATTCCTATTTCTCTCACTTTACTTCTAAAACTTCTGTTTCTCTTATCCCTGCGGCTTTCCGGCGCCTCGCCCTGCCGGCGGGTTCCCGGCTCTGCGCCGCTTCAGCCCGCGCCTCATCTGCGCGGCTCGGCTTTGCGTGGCTTGGCTTCGCGCGCTCCGCGGTCTCCACGCTTAACCCTTTCGCGTCTGAACCACAGCCTACGCCAGCCCGTTCCCTATCTATTCACGCCCCGTGCTCTCTCTGCACGCGACGGCTTCCGCGAGTAACACAGCGTAGCTCACGTGTCCGCCACTAGCATTCAATCTAAGTTCCCCGGGCTAGCCTGGCGAATTCAACCCAGCGTACGTCTCCGCCCCACGGTTTGGCTTCCCGTCCTTTGCTCCCCGGGCTAATCAGACGGATCCCAACCTGGCTCACGTTTCAGCTTCTGGTTTCAACTTTTCGCCCCCTATTCCCGGGCTAACTTGAGAACCCCAAAGTGGCTTCCGTTTCCGCCTCGGCCTGCCCCCCGCGGCTTCAATTTCCCTAACATTTTTCTCTACCCGGTATGTTTCCCCAAGCTTTCCTCCAACGATATTCCTCCCTCATTTCTCCTGGCCTCTCCCCACAGTCCGCGTCCGAGTCTGTTTGTTCTAGCTTTCACTTTCGCTTTCGACCTTAGAGATTTCTCCCAGCTTCCCCCCGTAGTCCGTATCCGAGTCTATGCCTAGGCTTTCAATAGCTTCTTCCGGCTCCTTTTTCGTCCGGCTTTTCCCTAGGCTGTTTGCTAGTCTCTCTCTCCGGTATTTTCCCAGTTCTTCCCGTTTCTTCCCTCTTAAGTTTGCTATCCGACCTAGGTTTCCTAATCCGAGTCATTTCTTCCCTCCTAAGTTTCATATCCGTCCTAAGTTTCCTATCCGAGTCAGGTTTCCTATCCGAGCTAGGTTTCCTATCCGAGTCACGGCACCATTATGTCGCTCCCCCTCTTCATGGAGGAACGACACTAAGTACTGCCTAGGCTTCATATCCGAGTCACGGCACCATTATGTCGCTCCCCCTCTTCGTGGAGGAGCAACACAGGACCCTGCGCTGTTCTTTCGTCTGCTCGGCCCTCCCCGGGTTTGCTGCTGGTTCTTCCCGGGTTGGCTACTATCCCTTCCACCTCCGTGGAAGGGCAGTTCCCCCTGGCCACATTCCCCACTTCCGCAGGGGAGCGGCACACCGCCAGCCGGCTCTACTCGGGGGCTGCACAGGTGTTCCTTCAGCTAGATGTTCCCCATAGATGTTCCCGGTGCATGCCGTCTCTCTCCTCCTTTATAGTCCTCCTCCGCCAATCCCAACTCGGCTGCCCACACGCCGAGTACGCTGCTCTCCAATCAGGAGCAAGTCCTACAGTTAATTGGTTGAACTGGAGGCAGCTGTGCGGAAGCTGTTTACTTCTCTCCCAGCGCCATATTGTGGGAGAGCAGATGCATAGAATAAGTCTTAATTCCAGTAACAGTCTAGTCCGGTTTGCTCCCCACACATTGGGCTTCAGATATAACTCCTCCTGCTCATTTTCTCCAAACTTGTTATTTTTACTACAGATCTGCTTCTTTTTCTTCCTCCTCTTCAGATATTAAGTGGCACTACCATCTACCTGGTCCACCAGCCTGAAAGCTAGAACTCATATTCAACTCATATTGCTTTACCGGCAACACCCATTTGGTGACTAGATCTTGTCAGCACCGCCCCCGCCTCGTCTTTCCCCGGCTCTTCTGTCCCTAGAGCCGCCCTCCTTGCCTCTGCTCCACATGATACCGCCACAGATATCTTCCTGACTCTGACATTCTCTTGCTTGAAAACTCTCCCTCAGGCTCTGTCTCTCCTAAGGCAGAGACCAAAATATTTTTTTATTTTTTGACAGGCAGAGTGGACAGTGAGAGAGAGAGACAGAGAGAAAGGTCTTCCTTTGCCGTTGGTTCACCCTCCAAGGGCCGCCGCGGCTGGCGCACTGCGGCCGGTGCACCGCAGTGATCCGATGGCAGGAGCCAGGTGCTTCTCCTGGTCTCCCATGGGGTGCAGGGCCCAAGTACCTGGGCTATCGTCCACTGCACTCCCTGGCCACAGCAGAGAGCTGGCCTGGAAGAGGGGCAACCGGGACAAAATCCGGCACCCCAACCGGGACTAGAACCCGGTGTGCCAGTGCCGCAAGGCGGAGGATTAGCCTAGTGAGCCGTGGCACTGGCCACGAGACCAAAATATTAAGCAGATCTTCTGAAGGTAGAGTTTTAATTCGAAGTTCTTGGAAATTTTTCTGTTTATCTTTTTTTCCTCTTCTTAGGCGTTTTCAGGAGTATCTAAGAGGACTGTGCTTCTGACTGGAATGGAAAACATTCAGATGGATGAAGAGATTGTAGAGGACTTCATTGGCATTCACTTCCAACGGGAGAAAAATGGAGGTGGAGAAGTCGAGGTGGTCAAGTGCGCGCTACAGCAACCTTACACAGCATATTTTGAAGAGTAGACTCATAGAGTCATATGAAAATTACAGCTCTGACCCATCACTGTAATATTTGACAAAAACTAGTACTATTTTCCTCAAAAAAGGAAAACTTTTAATTCTTCAGTGTCTATTGATTCTTAGACACAAAGTATATTCCCATGTATTTGGCTCCTTCATGGTATCTAACTGTGCTGCATGTTCTCAAATGGAGTAAATGCCCTGTATTGAAAACAGTTTTGTTCCTCAATTATACAGATGGTCTCCAGTCTGTTGAAATCAACTTTAAGTGGCCTAGAAGTCCTTCTGCCTTTACCGGCTCATTCTGCATGGCCATGTGGGCCAATTGGGTTGTGATCCCATGCCCAGCTTGCAGACTTGATGCTTAACATTTTTAAAAATGCAGTGACATTTAGCAGTTCCTGGTTTCTATGGACTTTACCAAAGATTCAAGGCATTTCACTCTGTAACTCTGAAGATTCTCAGAGCTGAGTGTGGTTGTTTTCCTGAAGCTTGCCAACCATCCCTTGACTGCTTTCAAGTATCCTCTTCCAAATAGAGCTTGTTAAGGCCTGTATTTTCTTTTCTTTTACACTTTAATGGAAAGAATCAGAAGACTTTGAAATAAAGAGAGAAGTAGTTCATCATGTTTGATGCTTGGGGTAAAAAATGCAGTACTTGCCCTCTAGGAGCTCAAAGTAGTTGAAGAGAGACCCAGTTTATTAGTATCCAACTGTTTTTACCTTAAAGAAACATAAATGATAAAAATCAGAGGTTCCTATTGAAAGAAGATAAGATTTTATTTTTGGTTAAGCAGCTTTGCAAGATTTTATCTTAAAATAGTTTGTTTCATGAAGTGCTGGAAGCAGAATTAAACTCATGAAATGTCAGCATAAACAAAATGCATTTACAAGGTATTCTCAACCTAAGCCTATCCAATGTGCCTGCCATCTAAAAAAACGCAAAGAGAAAAGCTTGGTTTTGCTTCTAACATACTACTTTTAGGTTTTAAAGTTAGGTTTCAGGGCCAGTGCTGTGGTGTAGTAGGTAAAGCCTGCAGTGCCGGCATCCCATATGGGTGCTGGTTCGAGTCCCAGCAGCTCCACTTCCGATCCAGCTCTCTGCTGTGGCCTGGGAAAGCAATAGATGATGGCCCAAGTTTTTGGGCCCCTGCACCCACATGGGAGACCTGGAAGAAGCTCCTGGCTCCTGGCTTCGGATCGGCACAGTTCCAGCTGTTGTGGCCATTTGGGGAGTGGACCTCAGCCTCTGAAACTCTGCCTTTATGTTGCTATCAGAAATACTCATTAGTCTCACATTTCTCTTAGGAATGAAAGAAGGTAGCTAAAAACTACTCACTTTATAGTAATTTTGTATTTACTGTTAAAAATATACTTCCTGTCTAATGTTCTTTGGGAATGGTAAAATTATGTAAACTAAAAAATGTAAAAGTCTACGTTTTGTTCCTATAACCAAACGCCTGAGCCTGGGTAGTCTGTAAAGAGCAGAATTTTGTAGCTCACGGTCTGGAGAGTGGAGAGACTGAGAGTGTGGCACTAGCACCTGCTTGGCTTCTGGTCAGGGCCTTCTTGCTACAAGGGTAGTACATGTTGAGACGAACCAAGCTCACCAGGGAGAACTTGCTTCCATAACAAAGCCATGCCTGTGATAACCTGTTATTCCATTATTCCATGAATCCATTCACAAGGGCAGAACCATTACAAACCAACCACCTACCAAAAACCCCATCTCCAAATACTATTAACATATATTTTCTGAATGGAATCTCCAGTACATGAATTTTGAGACATTCCAACCATGGTAAAGAAAAAGGAAACTTAAAATAACTTTTACGTTTCTGTTGGTGAAGTCTTACTAGCACAGAGAATATTAATCATTATGGTAGATTCCTCATCAGGAAGAATGTTTTCCTGTTATTTAGGACAAAGTTTGAAACAGTCACTTTTGTTTCTTCAGGATCTTCTTTGAGTCAGAAATGGATAATTTATTCAATTCTAAATTTTCATAATGGTTTTTGATAAATATGATTTAATCTTTGAATTTCTGTCCCCAACACCCAAGGGCAATCTGGCAGGACATTAGAAATAAAGCGTTGATTCTCTTATTCCTAGAGTTTTAGGATTTAGCCATAAGAAAGGTGCCTTGAAAACTTACTGAATTCACTGTATTGACTATCTAACATATTGAATATATCAGCATTCCACTTCAGAATATGAATTTCTGTATCAATCAGAATAGGCTATGTGATATTGATGTGACACATTATCTTCCTCAATTTCAGAGGCCTAAAACATCAAAGGGTTATTCCTTGCTCATGCTGTGTGGGGAGAAACCCGGACTAGACTAAGTTACTGGAATTAAGACTTATTCTATGCATCTGCTCTCCCACAATATGGCGCTGAGAAGGGAGTAACAGCTTCTACACAGCTGCCTCCAGTTCAACCAATAGACTGTGGGACCTGCTCCTGATTGGAGGAGAGCAGCGTACTCGGCGTGTGGGTAGCAGAGCTGGGATTGGCAGAAGAGGACTATAAAGGAGGAGAGAGACAGCATGCACCAGGAACATCTAGGGGGAACATCTATCTGAAGGAACACCTGTGCAGCCCCCGAGAGAGCTGGCCGGCGGTGTGCCGCTCCCCCGCGGAAGTGGGGAATGTGGCAGGGGGAACTGCCCTTCCACGGAGGTGGAAGGGATGGTAGCCAACCCGGGAAGAACCAGCAGCAAACCCGGGGAGGGCCGAGCAGACAAAAGAACAACGCAGGGTTCTGTGTCGTTCCTCCACGAAGAGGGGGAGTGACATAATGGTGCCGTGACTCGGATATGAAGCCTAGGCAGGGCTTAGTGTCGTTCCTCCACGAAGAGGGGGAGCGACAATGCTGCATGTTCATGATGGACCAACTAAAAGAGCTCTGCTCAATGGTAAACACTTAGGGACCCAGGCTAATGGCAGCCATCACTCTTTCATGTTACTGAGTGACATGCCTAGGGAAGAAAAGAGCTTTGAAGAGTCTTAATTAGCACTGAAATTCATAGCCTAGGAATGATATTTGCCATTTCCCCTAGCAGCCCAGAACTTAGCATATGGCCCCATCTGAGCATAAACGATCCGGGGTGGACGCTTCCTCCATATGCATGGAAGGCAGAAAGCTACATCTTCTTCTTCTTCTTCTTTTTTTTTTTTTTTTTTTTTGACAGGCAGAGTGGACAGTGAGAGAGAGAGAGACAGAGAGAAAGGTCTTCCTTTGCTGTTGGTTCACCCTCCAATGGCCGCCGCGGAAGGCGCGCTGCGGCTGGCGCACCGTGCTGATTGTGCTGATCTGAAGGCAGGAGCCAGGTGCTTCTCCTGGTCTCCTATGTGGTGCAGGGCCCAAGCACTTGGGCCATCCTCCACTGCACTCCCTGGCCACAGCAGAGAGCTGGCCTGGAAGAGGGGCAACCGGGGACAGAATCCAGTGCCCTGACCGGGACTAGAACCCAGTGTGCCGGCGCTGCAAGGCAGAAGATTAGCCTATTGAGCCGCGGCACCAGCCAGCTACATCTTCTTAGTGAATAGCACTAAAAATACTTGGGTGGTATTCAAAAATACATGTAGAATAATATAATGAAGATTATTTTAAAAATCACCAAAAATCCACCTCTTGAGGTAACGATAAATATTTTTTCAGTGTCCTCAATTATCAATTATATCACATTGCATCTTGTAAATATACCATATGTTAGCTATTATTCCCTTAGTGTTGGATATTAAGGTTATTCTCAAGTTTTTATACATAAATGTTATGATGTATATAAACCTGTTATGTCTTGGTGTACACAAATCTTTTTCAGCACTTCTGGGCTTACTTCAAGATGATAATCTCTAGGTTGATAGCCTGAGGTATAAAACCTCTTTTAAGGATTTTAAGGGTCTGGCGCTGTGGCATAGTGGGTAAAGCTGCTGCCTGCTGTGCCGGAATCCCATATGGACACCGGTTTGAGTCCTGGCTGCTCCACTTCCTATCCAGCTCTTTGCTATGGCCTGGGAAAGCAGTAGAAGATGGCCCAAGTCCTTGGGTCCCTGCACCCACATGGGAGATCTGGAAGAAGCTCCTGGCTCCTGCCTTCGGATCAGTGCAGCTCTGGCCGTTGAGGCCAACTAGGGAGTGAACCAGCAGATGGAAGACCTCTCTCTCTCTGCCTCTCCTTCTCTCCCTGTGTAACTATGGCTTTCAAATAAATAAATAAATCTTTAAAAAGGATTTTAATATGTGTGGCCAGAAAGGTAGGCATGGTTTGTACTTTTAATAATTGTGCAACAGAGAAATACATCATTGCTTGCTTTGAGTATTCCATATTGCTCCTATAAAAATGATTTTATCCCATTTTTAAACATCTTTATAAATATCCCAGAGCTCATAAAAATCAATAATTGTCAGGTACAGGTTAAACATCCAATAATGGGCTCTGTTTTTGTGTTTTGGTACCAGTTTTAACCAGTTTTCTGCTGATATAACAGTATCCCAGTATACCTTTCCTACTAGGTGATGGTTGAAGTAGCTGGGTCGCTGTCATTTGTGTGGGAGACCTTGATGAAGTTCCTGGCTCCTGGCTTCCGCTGGGCCCAACTCCAGCTGTTGTGGGCATGTGGGGGAGTGAACCATTGGATAGGAGATCTCTGTGTGTGTTTCCCTCTGTCTCTCTGCCTTTGAAATAGATAAAATAAAAACGTAAAAATTAAAAACAAAAGAAAAATTAAGCAATTGCAATGTCTGCATCTTATTGGAATCCTGATACAGGCAAACAAAGAAGACAACTGGAAATTTGAGCACTGACTATATATTTGATGATATTAAGAAATTGTTAATTTTTAGGTCCAATAATTATATTGCAGAAAAATATACAGATTATAAAAGTTACCATTTTAATCATTTTAAGTGTAAGATTCAGCGTTACTAAGCATATTTGTATTATTGTGCTATGATCATTCCTATCTATCTGTAGAACTTTTCCAACATCCCCAACCGAGGGCGGGGCACGTGGCACAGCAGTTAAGACATTGTTTCAGACACTTGCTTCCCATATTGGAGTGCCAGGGTTCCATTTCCGGTTCTGTCCCAGTCCTAGCTTCCTTCTGAAATGTACTCTGGGAGGCAGAGATGATGTCTCGACTCATTGGGTCCCCGCCACTCACATGGGAGACCTGGACTGAACCTCTGGTTCCTGACCCAGTCCTGGTTGTTGTGAGCATTTGGGAGAGTGAACCAGTGGATGGGGGATCTCTGTATGTCTCTGTCTTGCAAAAAAATAAAGAAATTAATAAAAATTAAAATTTCAATTGAAACTCTGTACCCTGTCCTTGGTAACTATATCATTGTGCTTCTTGTCTGCATGAGTTTGCCTATTCTAGGATTATACAATGTTTTCCCTTTATGTGCCTACTTCACTCAGTGTGGTGTTTTCTATATTCATCCATGTTGAACGAATTAGGTATCAAAACAAGGTTTTGCTAGCTACTTGGGCATTCCTTAGCCTAGTCAAGTGACATAAAGTTAACCGTGTGCCACATTTATGAGAGCTTATTTCTAGGCCCTCATTCACGTTTCACTGGTGTACATTTTTGTCCTTATGCCTTTACCATACAATTTCAGTTACTGTAGCCTTGGACTCAGTTTTGAAATCAGGAAGTGTGTGCATTCCAGTTTGATTTTTTTCTTTTTAAAAGATTTATTTATTTATTTATTATTTATTTATTTGAAAGGCAAGGTGATAGCGAGAGAGGGTGAGACAGAGAGAGAAATAGATATGTAATGTGCTGGTTCACTCTCCAAACAGCCACAATGGCCAGGCTGAAGCTAGGAGCCAGGTGCTTCTTCCAGGTCTCCTGGAGGGTAGCAGGGGCCCAAGCACTTGAGCCATCTTCTGCTGTTTTTCCTAGGCCATTAAGAGAGAGCTGGATCAGAAGTGGAGCAGCTGAGACTTGAACAGGTGCCCATATGGGATTGCTGGCATTGCAGGCAGGGGCTTTACCTGCTGTGCCACAACACCAGCCCGCTCTATGGTATCTTAGTATTACTTGTGCACTAGGACTATAACTTTAGATTCAGTTCTACGAATGAAATCACTGTCTCAGGGTATGTGCATCTTTACTTTTTTTGCAAGTTACATTTTGATAGAATACAGGTGGAAAAGTGCTACCTTGTAAAAGTGCCCGCCATTGTAAGGTCATAGCCAATACTCCACTAACAAAAGGGATTAACAAGAAAAGCATAACAAATCTATTTAATGGAAGTTGCCAAGGTTTTATGTGACATGGGAGCCTTTGTAAATGAAGACCCAGAGATCCAGGGAAACTGTCCAAATTTATGCTTAGGGTCTGAGGAGAATGGACAGCCATGCAGAAATACGATTGGACCAGAGTGGGGTTCAATGGTCATAGGCTGAGGGGGGGATTGCTATCAAGGTCTGTTCAGAGTTCTTCTTGGCCTCTCTGTATTGCATCTCTTCTTCCTGGGTAGAGGGCAGGATCTTTCCAGAACAGGAATTTTCAAGAGAGAAGAGAGGAGACAGTGACCTTTCTAGGTTTCACGGCTTGCTTTGGGGAACAGGAATTCTGGTTCGTATGACTGTCTCAGGGGGAGAGAGAGGCAGGAATCAAGAGGGGAGAGGGTCAGCGAGCTTTGCCTCTGAGACCTTTCCTGTCTCCCTCAGTTCAAAGTCCTCAGCAGGCCAAGGTGCCACACACTGCAGTATTGTGCTCTGAGCCTCAACCATAGAGGCCAAATCCTACCCATGCCTGCAGCCACACCAAGGCTTCCGTACAGAGAAGCTAACACTGCGAATGACCCCCCCCTTCTAATGCAGTCAATGGAATCATGGAAAAACGGCAGCTTTTTGATTCTGCGGTGAAGCTTGTCTCTGGATTCCCTCTTGTCCTCTTGGGCGCCTCAAGGCTCAAAGGTCCAGCACAGCCTGGACAGCCAGGGGAGTTCCCTCTTGCGCGTTAACCCCTGCGCCCTGCGTGCCTGGAGGCCCGCAGTGCCGGGGGGCCAGCCCGGGAAAGACACTAGAGAGGGGTGTGTGTCTGTGGCACCGGGTAGCGAGGGGGAGCTGGGGAGAGGAGGCTAAGAGGATACCGGTGTGCTAGCAGCGGGAGCTAATGAGGGTTTAGGAAACGTGATACAGATTCCACTGAGCTCCCCGGCATCCGGAGGGAATCCCGGAACGTCAGCTTGGAAATCCTCTGGGCCTCTCTCCAGGGAAAGTTGCAAAACCACCCAGGGCTGTGGGCCGGCGGCGGAGTTCCCACCTGGAGACCACGAGGCCGCAGAACAGCTGGGTGGGTGGAAGGGCCGCCCCTTTCCCGTCTCCAAGGGAGCGGAGACAAAAAAAACCGAAACTAAAAGTTGCTTGCCCAGCCGCTTCCCGCCGCCCGCGCTCTGCTAGGTTTGGGCACCGACGGCGCGTCGCTCCGCCATGGCAAGTCGCTTTTGCTTTGGGTTTTGCGCAGTAGGGTCACCTGCGTGCCGTCGCCACACTCCCCTGGAAAGGAGGGCGACCCCGCGGGGGCAGGCCCAGGCCCGGGGCTGAGCCGGAGGCGCGCGGAGGCCAGGGACCCCGGAGGCCGCCCTCGCCGGCCAGCCAGCCGGGGCCACCTCCTCGCCGCTGCCTGGCCCTGGGCGGGCGAGGGGCGCAGCTCCTAGGGGCCAGACCTGGCCTACCGCCACCCGCTCCCGCCCCCACTGCCCGGCGTCAGAGCTGCCGCTGTGCCCTCCACGGGTAGCTTGTCGTCCCCCCCCCCCGGGGGGGGGGGCCGTGAGGGAACAAAAGTGGGCTTGAAACAGACTGGAGCCGAGGACGCGAGTTAGGAAGGGGTCGCGTCTTCCGTGTGCCCTGGTGCGCATTCTTGTCTTTTGCGGCCTTGGTTCGGGGTCCACAAAGAGCCCTGTGTTTCCCCATCTGTGCTGGCTGGGAAGAGCAATCCGCAAACTCCGCACCAAGCCTGCCGCCTGCCTGGGTGGTTCAGTCCCGCCCGGTCCGTGTCAAGGGCCGGGCTGAGCCTGCAGTTCCTGGTCTGAAATGCAGAACTGGAAATGTAGTTAACGGATGCAAGTGCGTTTTGTTTACGTGGTAGCAGGAAAGGCGTCGTCAGCGAAAAGAAACAACCGATTTTGATAAAACAAATATAAACAAAGGCAGTGAAAGACTCTTGTGTCTTGTTATCCTTTTCTGCTTTCTGATCCAATGGCCTAAAGGCGCTGAGAACCTAACACTGGAGCAAAGTGCCATCACCTTACTGTCTCTTGTTTCAGAATTCTTGGCAGGGCCGTCTTATTAATTGTGGCTAGAAGAGATTAATAACTCTCCTTGTTCATAATTGACCTCGGTAAAATGAAATGTGTTAGCCACAGCTGCTGCAGCCAATGAGAGAAGGGTAAGGAAGATTCCTGGCAGGCCATTGCAATTATTGATTAGGCGCTGCATAAAAATTACTGCGGTCTCACAAAACAAGGCCATCCCTTTATGTTCTCACTCGTGAAAACACTGGCTGAAGGACATGGCCTTTTGATTTTTAAAGGTGAATTGCATTTAGACACTTGAATAAAGAAATACACTGTTAGCACTGATGAGGATATAGAGGTGGAGGGAGATTTTTCAGAATTTGAATTGATTGCGTTTTCTTTGACATCAAGACCAAAAAGCAGAATTTAGCCTTCTGTCCAGTTTGGCTGGTGTGGGTTGTTAGAGCAGCGAATTTTATTCAGACAAATCTCATCCAGGAAGGTCCCCTGAGAATCTGAGAAATCTCTTTGGTTATCTTTTCCTCCTTGAAGGGAGAATTAATTTTGGGAAGACAGATTTTACCACTTGAGGCGAGAACCTAGGGACACTTACATCTGCTGTTTTATTGTTTCACTCTAAAATTTAGTGTATGAATAATTTTAAGAAGACTCTTCCTTAACAAGTGGCCAATAGTTTGTGATGGGTTGTGTGTTCTGGAACCACTCGTTTTGGTTTATATTCATTTCATCATGAGCTGTTTCTACCTTCCTCCCTACTTGCCTGCTCCTTTGTGTCTGCTGAAACTTCTCTTTCTTCCCATTTTTGCCTCATTAATTCATATTCTACCTCAGCCTTCAAGGCCTGTCTTCTGGGAAAACCTTTTTGACTGTTTTAGCCAAGATTGATCTTGCTTCCTAATCCTGGATGGCATTTACTTTATATTTTGGAATTCTCTTGTAGATAATCTTGTGTCATTTTCAGGTTGTTGGGTGCTGGCTCATATCCTCCTGTAGAGAAATCAGTCTCCCTCTTTTGAGCCTACTAAACTCTTTTGAAATAATTTACTTATGTGATTGCCTCCTTTTCTTCAAGATATAGGCCCTTTAAAAATGTCGTGAATCCTAAAATCTTGTCCTCATGCTCCACACATAATGAATGAATACTCAGTAAACTTATGTGGGGGAACTGAATGTCAGGGATGAGGGTGTGCTGGCTTTGTCAGTGTCTCTTATGGTACCCAGCATGTTGCCAGGGATAGAATGCATGCTTCAATAATACAATGTTTGTTAGCTGATTAACTGCCTGACAAGGTGCCAGATGAGGACACTTCAAAAATTTGTGTAGGGGCCAGTACTGTGGCATAATAAGTTAAGCGTCCACCTGTGGTGCTGGCATCCCATGTGGGTACTGGTTCGAGTCCTGGCTGCTCCACTTTCAATCCAGCTCCCTGTTGATGGCCTGGGAAAGCAGTGGAAGATGGCCCAAGTGCTTGGGCCCCTGCACCCACGTTGGAGACTAGGGGGAAGCGTCTGGCTCCTGGCTTCGGATCGGCGCAGCTCTGGCCGTTGCGGCCATTTGGGGAGTGAACCAATGGATAGAAGACCTTTCTCTCTGTCTCTCCCTCTCACTGTCTGTAACTCTACCTCTCAAATAAAATAAATAAAAAATCTTTAAAAAAAGAATAAAAGAAAAAGCTATGCATGGATTTCAAAACTTAAAAAAGTTGTGGAAAAATGGAATAAAAGCTAAGCTTATTTTGGTGGAAAATTTTGAAATCCATGCAAATAATATCCATAATGCACATTTTCTTTGGCAGTTTTGAAGATCCCTTGTGCAGGAAGTTCAAAGGACTGAGGCTTGGGGAAGCTTTTTCAGCTGGTACTCTGTGCCCAGCCTGGTGGCAGGGTCCGCAGTGGTGCGTCCTCTCTGTGGTCGCATTCATTCCCCAATATGTGCTTGAAGGAAAGATTTACTCCAGTGCAGCCCCATGTTTCTGCCTGGGTTTTATTTTTGGAGTGTGATTTTTCTTTGATTCACCCAGACAATAAAAGTTGGGATGTCATTCTTATTGGTTGATATATTTTTGACCCTACAATCAAGGAAACAGCCATTCCCAAACTACCATATTTGTAGTTTGGCTTGCTTTTACAGTTGAATTTTTAGAATATTTATCTCCTAATCTTTTCTTTTGTAATTTCTTCTATTATTATTATTATTTTTTTTGACAGGCAGAGTGGGCAGTGAGAGAGAGAGACAGAGAGAAAGGTCTTCCTTTGCCGTGGGTTCACCCTCCAATGGCCGCTGCGGCTGGCGCGCTGCGGCTGGCACACCATGCCGATCCGAAGGCAGGAGCCAGGTGCTTCTCCTGGTCTCCCATGGGGTGCAGGGCCCAAGCACCTGGGCCATCCTCCACTGCACTCCCTGGCCACAGCAGAGAGCTGGCCTGGAAGAGGGGCAACCGGGACAGAATCCGGCGCCCCGACCGGGACTAGAACCCCGTGTGCCGGCGCCGCAAGGCGGAGGATTAGCCTAGTGAGCCATGGCGCCGGCCTTAAGCTTTCTTAAGATCAAATATTAACCAATACTTTCAAAAGGGCTCATTTTTAACATTTAATTCTTAAATTCTTGTAGAGTTTATGCTGGTAGATGCTATGAAGCAAAGATCTCTTCCTCTTTCTTTTAAAGTATCTAACCAGTGGTGTTAGCACTGTTATTAAATAAGATAATCCTTTCTCACTGGTATATTGTCATCTTTATCGTGTGGAATGTTATATTTTAAAAAAGTACCCTACTATTTTTCTTACAGGCATCATTTTCAAATGTCAAGGAATCCAAAAGTTGGGAAAGAACAGTAATAGTTGCTGGGCTTCCGGTTGGTCTGTTCAGTGATCAGTTATTGGCCACATTAGTGAAGAGTCACTTCCAGGATGTTAAAAATGAGGGTGGAGATGTTGAAGATGTGATATATCCAACAAGAACCAAGGGAGTTGCATATGTAATATTCAAAGAAAAAAAAGGTATTTCCACATCAAATATTCATAATCTTAGAAATGTTTCTTCAATGAAATTATAATTGTATTATGTTAAAATGATTCATGGGATTGGTGAAGTAGAAAGTAGCTTTAAAAACAATTGGTTTATTCTGAATGTAAAAATGGCACAATATTGTATTAGCAGGAACATACAGTAGGTTCTCCATATCCAAGGGTTCCTCATCTGTGATTCAACCAACTGCAGATAGAAAATATTTGAAAAAAAATTGTATCTGCACTGAACATGTACAGATTTTTTCTTGTCATTATTCCCCAAACAATATAGTACAACAATGATTTTCATAACATGTATGTTATATTAGGTGATGTAAGTAATGCAGAGATGATTTAAAGGATACAAGAAGACTATGCGTACATTATATGCAACTGCTTCATTTTATATAGGAGACTTGAGCATCTGTGGATTTTGGTATCCAGGAGGGTCCTAGAATCAGTCCCCTACAGATGCTGAGAGATGACTGTGAAAATTGCTCATGATGAAATTGCTAATGACTGGCAAACTCTTAAAGATTACTTTTCCCTCTGTTTTGAATCTGTCTATATCATGGGCTAAACGTGATAGAGTTTATTGCAGACAACTTGTAAAATACAGGGGGAAATGAAGAAAAACCTCACCTACATTATGTATTATCTCATAAACAAGATAATCACTTCAGAAATTTTGATGTGGTTTCAACAATATAATTATACCATCTACTTCTCTCTTTAAACCAATAGATGGATATTCTATTATAGCACCATTAAATACTGGTATGGTTGAATTGAGAAATATGGCTTGCATTTGAGATCAGATTGAGTTTTTCTGGTCCCCACATTCACCCCTGCTGTAAAAAGAAAGTTGGATCTGCACAGCACACTCTCCCCTCCAGCCTCATGGAATGGGTAGGCTTCTTGACAGCTTACGGGGCTGGCAGAATAAATTGCCTTAGAAAATGCATCTCCATGTCAGTCTCTTGGCGGTGGATGTGCCACAAGGCAGTATGAGCAGAAGAGACATTGCTCTACTGGAGGGGGGACAGGGTCCAGAGAAAGCCAAGAGACTGGGGATTATCAGTCCTTTCAGGTGCCACCATCATTTAAGTACTTCCTTCTCAATGGGGATGTTCATGTAAGGGATGACAGGAAGGGTTTTATTTTATTTTATTCAGAGAAAGCAAGAGGGAGGGAGGAAGAGAGAGAGAGAAAGAAAGAATATCTCTTCCATCTAATGATTCACTTGCCATCCCAAATGCCTGTAACACCCAGGGCTGGTACAGGCTGACGCCAGGAGCTGAGAACTCAAACCTAGTCTCCTTTGTGGGTGACAGAGACTCAACTACATGAGTCATCACCTGCTGCCTCCCAGGGGGCGGAGCAGTAGGGAGCTGCTGTCAGGAGCTGGGCCAGGACTCAAACCCAGGCATGTCAAAGTGCCAAAGCTTGCTCCAGGAAAGTCTTCTCAGTTCTCTCAGTGACCCTCTATATTTTGGGAAGTTAATATTTTTTAGAAAGGTTTATTTATTTATTTGAAAGAAGGGAAAAACAGCAATAGATAGGTGGGTAGGTAGATTGATAAATAGATAGAGCTTGCATTCACTGGTTTGGTTCCCAAGTGGCAGCGACAGGCCAAAGCCAGGAGTCTGGAATTCCATCTGGATCTCCCATGTGGATACACCACTTGATCCATCTTCTGGTGTCTTTCCAGGTGCATTAACAGGGAGCTGGATTGGAAGTGGAGCAGCCAGGACTGAAATGTGGGATGCTGGTGTTGCTGCTTCCCGGGTGGTGGCTTAACCCACTCCCACATCAGCCCCGAGAAGTTAATATTTTATGTATTGAATTGGTAACTCCAAGAGAGAGACTTATTCTAATGAGTGAATGAAAGGTAACTCATTCATTCATTCACAAATATTGATTATCTCTCATTTGCTAGGCACCATCCTAGGCCTTGAGGATACAACAAGGAATGCAATAGGCAGAGTCTTCATGAAGTGTAGATCCATGGGGGTGGACAGATAATATGCAAACACATGCGTGTTACATATTGGGTGCTTTATTTATTGAGATTATATATGCTTATTTATGTGTTTACATATTTATATGTCAAGATAAAATATGAATGCTATAAAAATATAAAGAAGAATAAAGGAGTAAGATATTCTGGAAAGTGCTATTTTAGATAGAATGATGGGAAGATTTTCCTTTTAGATGTCAGTTGTGTAGAGACCTGAATGAAGTAAGGGAATGATTCATGCAGATAAGGGGGAAGAATACTCTAGCCCCAGGCTGGTGAACATCCTATGAGGGGAAGCATGCTGGGCAATTGGGAGAACAGCAAGGAGGGTTGAGTGGCTGCAGTGGAATGAGTAGGGGAGAGTGGTAGGAGATGTAATTAGATGGAGGACTGGGGCCAGTTTATGCTAAGTAACTTACAGATCAAGGTATGGTGTCTAGAGCCACTGCAGAGTTGTGAGCAGAGGACTGACACAAGGTTGGAGTGCCTTTTCCTACCTGATCAATTTGGCAGCTGGTGGCTAATAGAAGGTACTAGTTATTGCTGGCTTTAACCAGAGTGGTACCACGGTAGGTGATGAGAACTGGAAGATATTCACAATTTGTGAATGAATTAGGGGTCATTTTCTGAGACACAGAAGATCAGGGATAGAATATGTTTGGGAGTGGATTGGTTACCAAGACTTGAGATGTCTATTAGGATAACAGACTAGAGATTTCTGTAGGCAGAAGGAAGAAAGCTTGAGGCTGAGGTGATACATGAGAAAAAGTGTGTGAAACCATTGAAATTGGGTTCACTCAACAATTTCTTCAGGTCTGGGACTTGCCAACATCTGGAGAATGGGGTGAGAAGGAGGATTCACTAAGTGACTGTGCGGGTCAGCCAGTGAATTAAGAGACTTTAGTCTACTGTCCTGGATCCAAAAAGGTGTAGTCTCTTTATGACTGCGATGAACAGAATGGAGGGTTTACTTACAGGTTTTTGTTTTCCATTCATATATATACCTATGTGTATCTATAAAAGTATGATTAGGATCACATTTACATACAAATTGAACTACAGTGTGTTCAAGTGCAAGGAAAAAGCTATTAGAATACCAAATTTAGAGCAAAAAGTAGACACTGCAAATAACAGAGCTGAACATTGATATTATTATTAATTAAAATCATTATTAGGGTGGGAGTTTGCCCTAACAGTTGAGATGCCCACATCCAATATTAGAGTGCTTGGATTTGATTTCTACCTCTGGCTGCTGATTGCAGCTAATGCAGATCCTGGGAGGCAGTGGGGAATGACCCAGGTGGTAAAGTTCCTGTCATCCCTGTAGGAGACGTGGACTGAGTTCCTGATTCCTGGCTCTGGCCTTGGCCCAGCCCTATCTGTTGCAGACATTTGGGCAACATTTGAGTCTGAGGATGGTAGCACTCTTTGCCTCTCTCTCCTTCTCCTTTCTCACTCTTCCTTTCTCCCTCTCTCCCTCCCTATAAAATAAAAACATAATTAATGTGCCATGCCAGAAACACTTCTGATGCCAGTATTTCCACTTAGATGCGGAGAATGTCAGCAAGCAAAAGACACACCATCTAGCAAAGAGGGCTGGGTGTGCTCGACTCACAGTCTCTCACTTTAGTGACAAGGTAAGGGCGGTGCTGGAGGAGCTGGGTCGTATTTCTTCTGCAGAAATCATTCCTGTGTATGGGAGGCATACTCTTGCTTCATGACTTCTAAGAAAGAGAATCCAAATTCCCTATCCCAACTCAGTCTCTTGAAATTGCGTTTTTATGTATCTGTGTCCCATGTGATATTTTTTAAAGTGATAGTGAGCTTTTGGGGAAAAAAATAAAAATGAGCACAGAAAAGGAACTTTGAAGAGACAGGAAAGGTATGAAAAGGAAGAAAAAGTTCAATTTCAAAGCACTTGTTTGCAAACTACTCTGCTAAGAAACCCAGGGTTCTGAGTAGCCAGCTGGCATACTTCAAACTGGAGGTATAGGGTGGTGAGAATGGCTCTAGGGGGCCCTCTATCCATCAGGCAGAGCCAGAATAGTTTACATCTATGCATTCTCCAGAGAACCTTGTGTCAAAAAGGCTTCTGCCTCTAAGTCGTTGGACCACCTCTCTTTTGGGGTGTGCACTGAGGAACTGTGAGTCCCAGGTTGAACAAGGTGGGATTCCTTGTTGGGCAGCTTTGGGGCAAGGAAGCAGGGCCTCTGGGGTGGGGAGCTGGGGTCTGGTTTAGAGCAGTTGCTGTGGAGCAAAGAAAAATGCAGAAAAAGAGCATGTTTGTGTGTGTGTGTGTGTGTGTGTGTGTGTATTCTCTGTTCCATGAGGTGGTGCTGTTTAATTTCTCTCTTTTTAATTTTAGGTCTTCAACTCTGTAAGTGCTATCCTTGATCTTTCTGTTTTTGGGAGTAAAGTTTTTCTAGAAAATCTGATAACGGATCTTCAAAAGATGGTCCCAACGTTAAGCTTCAGCCGCCTGGAACCCAACGGAAGAGTCTCTGTGGAAGGTTCATTTCTGGCTATCAGGAAGCTCAAAGAATCTTTGCTATTAAAAGCAAGTTCTCTTTTAGAAAGAAACAGGAATTTTGTCAGTGAGGGGAGAGATAGGGATAGACAAAGCTTCCAGAAGCGCCTATCAAGAAGTGGGGACTCTCCGGGGTCACCCAGGACCCTGGGACCTGAGGTTACTGGACATGAAGAAACACTTGTGCTGGACACAGATGTTTTCCTTTATCTGAAACAGAAATGTAGAGTTTATGAAAGATCATTGAGTAAGTTCCATATTCTAAGTGGGGAGAGAGTGGATGGTGACATCACCACCATTAGTTTAAAGAATCCTCAAGTTGGTTTGTATCCAAACAACGTAAAACATGTCAAAAAGATCTTGGAAAAATGGTCCCATGTTCTTCAATATAAGCTCAGAAAAGAGACACTTCTTTTGGAAGGAAAGAAAAATACAGAGAAAAGAAACATTGAATGGGCGTGTGAACAACTGCAGCCGAGATACCTTAGGGTTCTGATAAATTCTTATAAGACACATATTGACATTATAGGATTTTCTTCTGACACCTACCTGTTTAAAAAACAGGTGATGGAATTAATAGGGCACAAAGTTAGTTGAAGTCTAAGCAGTAGTGGTGATAACTGCTGCCTTCCCTTCATGGGTTATTGCCTCTGCAATACGTGACCATAGCTTGACATGCCTTATCTCATTTTATCCTGTGACCATCCCTCATCATGAGCATCACTATCCCCATGATGTAGGGGAAGAAGCTAGGGTTTGGAGAAAAAACACTTGCCTGAAGTTACCTGGTTTAGAAAAAACAGGAGTGGCACTTAACTCAGACTGTCTGATTGCAAAGCTAATAAATATCTAAGGCACAAAACTTTGAAAAAATTCTCACTAAATTACCTTGGAGAAATCTCACTTTCTCCAGAACTCTAAAATACTTCAAAAATAAATCTGTGAGGAGTTGGGATGATGGTTATTATGCTGTTGCCACTTTCTTAACATTGACAAATTTGTATTTCCTCCATATAGAATTAGAGTGCTGGCAAAATCATTTGGAACAGGAGTTAGAAAGTGTTTCTCATGTAGATAGTTATTATTTGACTAAATACTATTTTTATAAGGCTTTTGGATATATGGAGCTTTTTTTTTTTACTGTTATTTAGTCTTATGTAAGTGTTGGTTGTAATAATTATCGAGAATTTTGAAAGAGATCCATAAGATTTCTATTACAGAAACTCCTTGTGATGAGTTATGTATTGATAAATTCATTGTAAATAGAAAGTATCATAAGTCGAAAATGCATTGAACATCCTGATTTAGCTGCACAGTGCACTGTAGCACATGAGTTGTCTCCCCTTGTGAACTCTTGCTGGCTGGGAGCTGAATCCTGCTGTCGCACTGCTCAGCAACATGAGAGAATATTGGATCTACCCACACGTTGTTAGCCCAGGAGAAGATCAATATTAAAAATTCAAAGTACCATTTCTTCTGAATGTATATCACTTTCATATGATTTTAAAGTAAAAAAAAAATCATAAATCAAAGCAATGCAGGTTTGGAATCATTTGTATTCTTACTACCCTTGATCTTGTTCTTGTTGTCACTTTAACAATGTAATTGTAAAATAAAGGGAGAAAAAAAAAGATCTATAGCAATTGTTTCAACATCTGTGACTCTCTTGACTTAAACTTTAGATGAAACCAATTTAAGTATCTGGGGCACTGCAGAGACTTTCCTGGTTTAACAGATAATAAAACACACACATTTTGCTCATCCCGAGGCAGGCAACGTGATTATGATTATTAGAACTGCTTGTGTCAGTAGAAAAGTGTACCAAAAAAACTGTGCTTTCATTTTTCTTAGCCATCTCAATCCCAAATGTGTAATTTCCATGTCCTTAAGTAGTATATTTCTGACACCAAAAATATAGACTACAAAAGCAAAAATAGACAAATGGAACTGCATCAAACTTAAAACACTTTTGTGGCCGGTGCCACGGCTCACTAGGCTAATCCTCCGCCTTGCGGTGCCGGCACAGCAGGTTCTAGTCCTGGTCGGGGCGCTGGATTCTGTCCCGGTTGCCCCTCTTCCAGGCCAGCTCTCTGCTGTGGCCAGGGAGTGCAGTGGAGGATGGCCCAAGTCCTTGGGCCCTGCACCCCATGGGAGACCAGGAGAAGCACCTGGCTCCTGGCTTCCAATCAGCGCAGTGCACCGGCTGCAGCGCGCCGGCCGCGGTGGCCATTGGAGGGTGAACCAACGGCAAAGGAAGACCTTTCTCTCTGTCTCTCTCTCTCACTGTCCACTCTGCCTGTCAAAAAATAAAAATTTATTATTACTCATTTTTACTTATTTGAAATCAGTGACACGAAGATTTCCATCTGCTGTTCACTGCTCAAATGCCCACAACTGCCAGGGCTGGGCCAGGCTGAGCTGGGAGCCAGGAACTCAATTCAGGTCTCCCACACAGGTGGCAGGGACCCCATTCACTTGATGCCTCCTAGGGTGAGCATTAGCAGAAAGTTGGATCAGAAACAGAGCCAGCACTCAAACCAATGCACTTCCCAAATGGTGTTGTAACCACTAAACCAAACACCTGCCCCAAGCTTGCTAGGTTTTAGACCTGCTCAGAGTCTGTCACCCCTTCCTTCTCTTCTGTTTCTCCCTTTTGGAATGGAAATATCTGTCCTGTCACTGTCTCATCATGGTAGTTTTGGAAGCACAAAGCTTGCTTGGTTTCATAGGTTCATGGCTGGAGAATAACTTTGCCACAGGAACGCCTCATTCCTAATTCTCATTCCTATCTCAGTTGGACTTCAGATAAGATCTTGGACTTCAGACTTTTTGGAATTGATGCTGGAATGAGCTCAGATGTTGAACGCAATGAATGTATCCGGCATGTAAAGAGGACATGAATTTTGGAAGGCTAGGGACAGAAGGCTCTGGACTGAATGCTTGTACACCCCAATTCGTACGTTGAGATCCTCACACAGGGCCTTCAGGAGTGGAGCCTTCCAGAGACAATTAGATCATCAGGGTGGAGCCCTCATGATAGGATTAGTGCATTAGAGACTGAAGAGAGATTGCTTCCTCTTTCAGTTGCTTTCTTTCCTCTTCTTTCTCCATGCACACCTCTCTGATGAGGTGGCCCTCACCAGAACCCCGCCATGCTTGGCACCCAGATCTCAGACTTCCCAGACTCCAGAACTACGAGAAATAACATCTGTGATTTAAGCCATCCAGCGGCATTTTTGTCATAGTCTGAAATGACCACAACAGATCCCTTTTTGATTGTTGATTGTGTCTGTGTGTAGGTGCACTAAAGTGTTTTTTTGTTTTGTTTTGTTTTGTTTTTGTTTTTTAACAGGCAGAGTGGACCGTGAGAGAGAGAGACAGAGAAAAAGGTCTTCCTTTGCCGTTGGTTCACCCTCCAATGGCCGCCGCTGCCGGTGCACTGCGGCCGGCGCACCGCGCTGATCCAATGGCAGGAGCCAGGTACTTATCCTGGTCTCCCATGGGGTGCAGGGCCCAAGGACTTGGGCCATCCTCCACTGCACTCCCTGGCCACAGCAGAGAGCTGGCCTGGAAGGGGGCAACCGGGACAGAATCCGACGCCCCGACCGGCACTAGAACCCGGTGTGCGGGCGCCGCAAGGCGGAGGATTAGCCTAGTGAGGCGCGGTGCCGGCGAAAATGAGTAATAATAAATTAACACCCCACATGCAAACTGTGTGAGATCTTAGGGATTGAGAATAGTCCCCTTTGTCTTGATGCTGCCCTCCAGGCCCACTGTGGCCATCAGGTGGCGGCTTTGACAAGATACTGAATCAGCCCACACTTTGATCTTGGACTTCCTGGCTTCCAGCACCATGAGAAATAAATTCCTCTTATTTTTTTGAAGAGTGCTAAGGATTGCTGGGAGCCAGCAGGAATGGGAAGAGACAAAGGAATGCAGCCCATCTCCCTGTGAGCAGGGCTTTATTTCTCCACTTTATTCATCCCCAGTTTGTAATGGAACACTTCACACGTAGTAAGCATTCCACAAATACTTTGAAACAGTTGAACAATTTTTGTGCTCTGCAGAATTTAGTATAGTACTTTGCATTTAATAAGAATCTAATGAATTCGTGTTCATTGGTCTAGGAATTTTCTTTTTCTTTCTTAAAATTTCTTATTTTCTATTTAAAAGGCAGAGCAGTGTAGAGGAGAAACAGAGAGCTTGCATTATTGGTTTACTCCCCAAATGGCAACAGTAGCTGGGTCTGGGTCAGACCGACGTAAGGAGCCAGAAACTCTATCCTGGTCTCCCAAATGGGTGGCATGGGCCCAAGTGGATCATCTTCCACCTCTTTCCCAAGTGCATTAGCAGGGAGCTGGATCAGAAGTGGAGCACCTGAGATTTGAACAGGCACTCCATTATGGGATGTCAGCATCGCAAGAGGTGGTTTAACTACCCCCTAAGGAATGTTGTATGTGTTTGTGCTGTCTGGTGCTCCCAATCTCATGAATAGTAATCTCGTTCTCCCTCATTAGAATGTGTCTGCATTTATTATTTGAATTGTTTCCTCCCTGTAGGTGAAATTCTCTGGCAAGACACACTCAAGTAGCAGGATTTCTCTCTTTGTCTTTTATCTTCTTGTCAAGCTGGTTGACCGGTAATCACATCTTCCCATCATGAGTGATGATCTACAGTGATCCTCTACACTTATCAACACTAGGTATCACTAGTGAGATAAAAAAATCCCTTGTGATTAGTCTGATGGTTAAGAAGTTTTATTGGTTCTTTCTGCTATGGTTGCTGAATATTGTCAGGTGTGAGAGGCACTTAGGAATTTGTAAGGTATATAAACAGTCTACTCATTAATGCTTGAGATACTAAAACATTTTGTTTATCAGTGGAAAATACTATACAGTGTGAATTTGTGTGTTAGGGTTGTTTTGCAGTCATCACTTTACCAGCAATGCTGACAACACTGATAGAGGTAGAATTGTCCGTGACATTTAATATTGGAGGAAATCAGACTATTACATTTTACTGATCCCGGTATTGTACAGGTATTACCTTCAGGAATGAGGACTTCTGGCTAAGTGGGAAGTTTGATATGGAATATTATATCATGTGTTCCTCAAAGTGTTTTTGGTGGATGAATCTGTTTAAAATAAAAAGTGATTTCAGGGAGGGAATAAGAAGGTAAAATGTAAGGATGGTGGTGTTTTCATGGGGTGTGTAGGAACGCTGGGAGGAACACTTACATCTGATGAAGATAGATGCTTATGTGTATTACAGTGCCCACCAGCAGACAGCTGACCCCATTCTTCTCCCCTACCCCAAGCTGCCTTAGAATGACAACCCCATATTTTCCTTCCCTCATTCTGTAAATTGTCAAGCATTTTGTATTCTGTTTCCAAACCATCTCTGATACTTGCATTTGTTTTTTCTTTTCCATTTTCTGTGACTCTAATTAGTTCATCCTTGGGTTATTGCAGTATTCTTTTAATTGGCTTTCCTGGCTTGGGTTTACCTACCTCCATGCCTTTAATTCATTGTATGTACTACTAACAAATTAGTATGTCTGAAATGATTAGTGATGTCTGGGAGACTTAAACTGGCTGGTGTTAATTATTCTTTCTGAAATTTCATTGCAACATCTAATCATAAATTTCCTTTCCTTTTAAAGATTTGTTTGAAAGGCAGACACACACACACACACACATACACACACACAGTAGATAGAGAGATCTTCTATTTATTGTTTCACTCTCCAAATGCCTGCTACAGCTGGGGCTGGGCCAGGCCAAAGCCAAGAGCCAGGAATTCCATATGGGTCTTACCTGGGGGTGGTAGGGACCCATGCACTTGGGCCATCATCTGCTGCTTACCCAAGCACATTAGCAGGAAGCTGGATCAAAAATGGAGTAGCTGGGACTCCAACGAACACTCTGATATGCTGGTGTCCCAAGCTGTGTCACAGTATCTACCCTTAGATTTCTTTTCTTATTCATTTGCAGGATATGTTTTCTGAAAGATCCAGTTTACTAATGTACATAAAAGATTTTAGTATTTCATCATACATTGACATATTTTCTGTTTTTTAAATTTCAGTTATCAGATCTAAGTCCCCCCACCCCGCACCCTGCCAGCTAGTATAATTTCCTTACAGCAGTCTTGTGTGTCAGGGCACTGCCTTTGTGGTGGTCATATGCCATAATGATTGGCAGCGTGCGTTTTGTGGCTTGATAGATCTGAGATTGAGTTTTAGCAGTGGGCTTGCTATTGTGCGACTTTGGGCCTTTCTTTTCCACATCTATCAAATGGGGAGGATGCCTGTGACTTCATAACATCTTGTGATAATGAGTCCTCAGCCTGGGCCTTGGCTCTTTGTAGCCAATGGTACATAGGGATTCCTATCATTCATAGGAGATAATGTGACATTCAAAGTAAATGCAGTGAGATGGTGTGAAAAGCTTCAGGCCTTTCTCTGTAAAAGGAAGAACACTGTAGGGAAGGCAATGCTAAACATTACAAAGCACTTTTAACAGAAGAGAGTGCCCTCTCCTCCAAGGTGGAGAGGGATTGCCAAAGCAGATGTTAGGGAAGGAATATCAAAATTCTATCCTGATGTTTTCATGAGGGGTGGGAGGGAGGAAGGGAGTAGTTTCTGTGCAG